AAATCTGCAGATTTTTTGTGATTTAAACATTTTGAAATGAAACTAAAGAGACAGTTGTTGTTTAATTTTATTAGTGATTACGGATATGAAATTGAATCATAAGTTTGGCTACACTGTAAAAAATAAATCCGTAAAATTTACGGTAAAAAAACGGCAGCTGTGGTTGCCAGTACTTTATCGTTAAAAACATGGTACAAACCGTAAAAGTAATTTCTCATTTTTACAGTAAACGACAGTATTTTATTAATTTATAGAGGTAATATGTCTGTATTTTGAATGATCAACATCTACACATCTTTTGTTACACAGTTAGACACGTTTGCACATTCATATTCAGGTAGTGATGAGGAAGTTACATAATGAGCCAATGCTCATCAAAATCAACTTTTCCCACAAACAGAAATGAGTATCAGCAAATAGAAGGTGCTCAGTGTCATTCACACAGCTACTAAACACCGGTATGGTAACACGCATAAAATTAAAGTCATGAAGTAAATATTGTTTATCAAAATTAGATGTTACATAAATCTCTAATGTACATAACTGATGGGGACACAACTAAGAAGATTCATATTAATGTCAACCAAATGCAAAAAAAGTGATGTGCCATGCAGGGAATTCTGGGAAAGTAAATTTACGGTTATTCGTCGTTTATATTAAGGAAACATACCGTTAACCAGGTTACGGATTTGTACTGTAGCATTTTTACAGTTTTTTTACTGTTGAAATCACGGCCATTTATTACAGTGTAGCAATTTTGGAGATTTTGATGTTTCCATATTCAAACAAAATGCCCAAGCATCCTGCCCAAGAGGCATTTTAAAGATGGCTACAGAGTAAAATGATTTGCCTTAAAGAGACTTTGCTTGAACCCTGAAATGCTATTTCATACATCAAAATTTTGCATTAAAAACCTGCTAGAGGTTCCAGCACTGTTGTGTGTGTTGAATAGAGGAATGGACCAAGCACTGAACCCTACTCTTTAATGTGCCATTAATACTAATGTGTTTTTGTTTTAAATGTCTACACCAGTGGTTCTCAAACTGTGGTACGTGTACCACCACTGGTACGCAGGCTTCCTTCTAGTGGTACGCGGAGTTATCAAATATGTCATATGTACATGCTACATATAATTAAATGTATCAACAATTATTTATACATGAATATGACATAAACTATTATTTATTTTATGACATATAGCATATAATTTTGAGGCCCAGGCAACATTTCCAGGTGTTGATGAATTGGCTACTATATATGTTAATACTTTACATTGAAGTACAGCAGTTTTCTGTTTACTTTTAAAGAACATTAACCTACCATTTTTAACTTTTAAAAGCACATTTTAATTTAAATGTTGACGTTTTTAGTTGGCTTTTTTTTTTTTTTTTTTTTTACATATTAGCACAGTACAGTGTTAACGTTCAGACTATTTATACTGTTTAAAATGGCTGACAATAATAAATATTCTTAATAATAGAAATTAATCTGCCACGTTTTAGAACTGTGCAGAGCTGCAGATGCTTTACTGGGCCTACTACGCTGCTGTATTTCAATACTGCTTATTATGGTGGTACTTGGAGAGACAAATTTTTTCTGAGGTGGTACTTGATGAAAAAAGTTTGAGAACCACTGGTCTACACTAATTTGCTTCTTTGACCCACGGACCCACGGTGATATTGTACCTTTGGAAACCATGTCATGCCTATCAGTAACTCTCTAATATGACCGTTACACAAGAGGCATACTACAAGTATGTATGCCTGCAAAAAAATGCACTTGCCCAGTAGGCGTAAATGTTAACGGATCTTTTTTGAGCTGTAAAGTGTGGACGACGATTGTTGCAATAAAAACAAGATGATGAAAATAACTTTTATTCCAAAGATTCAGTTTTTTAAACACTCATGTAAACAGACTAGGGTTTTCTTGATACTGGAATTCGGTATCAATTGATACTGAATTTTTTTTAAGCATTTGAGTGCTGTTGAGCACGTTCTTAAACACAGCTGATTTTCCAGTGTATACACATGCTCAACAGAAATGACTGTGATTGGCCATGAAGGTCATCAGTTCACCTAACGCGATTCCTCAGCGCATCACTCGTATGTCAGCTTATAGACAAAGCAGCTGACTGACGTAACTTTGAAACTCTCCAGTGTCCCTGTATCTGTGTTTACACTCAGCTTTGAGTAAACAGCTGTGAGTTTGGTGAGTTGAAGACCTTCACGGCCTATCACAGTCATTTCTGTTTAAGAACGTGCTCAACAGCGCTCGAATGTTAGCAGGAAATGGTTTTTAAAACTTCAATATTGATTGGTACCGAATTCCAGTATCGTGACAACCCCAAAACAGACCCTAATAAAACCCTGGAGCATCTACCTGTAAGCTAAGAGCAGGTAGCCTGGTGTTAAAGTCTAGGTGATGTACACTGATTATTTTGGGAGAATCTGCAGTTACTGTTTGCAAGATTTCAGTGAATATCCCATTTTAAAGTCATTTTTTTCCTCCCCCTTAAGAGAAAGGCTAGATTGTTGGAAACTGGTTTAAGGGTTTTTAATTGAAAAAAGGGTGACACCAGTTTTCCAGTTGTATGTTTGAATTTGTAGGCAATTGAGATACCCAAGACTGATTAAATGTGGTGAGGAAAGTTCCAGTGAGGAATGTTGTTTTGATGATGGTTGACCAACTTACATCAGTAATGCATAAAGAACTTACACACCCTTAGAAATGAAGAAGAAAAACTAATGGAAAGAGGCATTGGCAGCCAAACAACTCAAATAATAAATGTTTACTAAAGGATTGACGTAATAGACTTGACTTCCATTATTCATGTTTTTACGTATTTAATTATTTGTTTATTGATTGGTTAATGGATGGAGTCTCAGTCTGTGGCAATCAATGAACACTGTCTTTAGTGTTTAATTCCAGCAAAAGCCCAATCACTGTGGCCTTCTGGTGCTTTTGAAATGCTATTCTGTTTGTTTGAGCACCTCAACAATTGCAAGAGAATTGAGGGTGTTTTTCTGTGAACTGGGTGTTTGGTCACCCTTTGGTTGTATACAGGATTGCAGAGTTGTTGAATATATGTAACTTAATTACATATTTTAAATAATACACAATATTGGTCATATTATCTAATCACATTAAAATTGAAAAGTATTTTAGAGTACTTCAGTTTGGATAATTTTCATTGTTACATGCATGTTTCTCAACTGCTTTTGGAATGGATGGATGGATGAATAGATTGATTGGTTGATAAATTGACGGATTGGTTGGTGGATGGATGGATTCATTGGTTGATGGATTAATTTGTTGATAATTCAATGGTTGATGGATGGACAGATGGATTGGTGGATGTATTGATGGATTAGTTGATGGATTCATTGGTTGATTGGTTAATGGGCGGACAGATGGAGGGAGGGATGAATGGATGGATTGGTTGATTGGTTTCATTAATGATGGATGGATTGGTCGATGGATTCATTGGTTGATGGATGGGCCGATAAATTGATTGATGGATTGCTTGGTTGATGGATGGATTGAAGATGGATAGATGGAGGGACAGACGAATGGATGGATTGATTGAAGAATGCATTTTGACATTCATCTTTCAAACACAGGAAAACTGAGGCCCTCAAACATGAGCCATGAAAGATTTTACTAAGAGTAAAATCATTACTTTTAGAACAGAATGATCCATATATTTTCCTTATCATTTTTTTTGACTATATATTTTTATTTTGCTTTTTCAAGAATTAACAATACAGAACATCAAAACAACAAACAAACTAAATTAAAACATACACAGTATATTAAATAAATAAGTAAAATTTAATTAAATAAATAAATGAAAAGGGAGGAGATACAGTATAAGCTAGTAGAAACAAAAACATTTTGTCAAATCAAATCAAGTGGTACTGTTCTAATGTAGTTCAAAAATGGATTCCAAATCTTTTTAAATACTTCATCCTTTCCTCTCAAGGAATATGTGATCTTCTCCAATGGTATACAGTTGCAAACTTCTGAGATCCACAGTCCAATTGGTACATCAAGGTCTGTTTTCCATTTTAAAGCAATGCATTTTGTAGCTATTGTCAGCAACATTTCTGTAAGGTTAATAGCAGAGTTATGCTGGAGGTTAGAATTTGTGTAATTACGCAATAAACATATCTCTGGATCCAATGGAAAATCAATTCCATGAATCTGTGATAAAATATTACATACTTGTACCCACAACACTTTCACTTTAGGGCACAGCCATGTAGAATGCAAAAAATGTACCTTCTTCTATACCACATCTGAAGCAGAGAGGAGAAATACTGTTTTTAAATTTGTGTAATCTGGACGGAGTATAATAAAGCTGGTGTAAGAAATTAAACTGGATTAGTCTAAATCTGGAATTCAAAGTTGAGGTTACCCCATCTCTACATAGCTGACCCCACAGGTCATGTTCCAGTGTTATCCCCAAATCCTGCTCCCATCTAGTTTTAGACTTATCTGGGTCAGTCAAAGGTTGTCTAAGCATCAAAGCATCATATATTCTAGAAATTGTTTTATGTAATGGTTTATCAGAGAAAACAAGTTCCTCCATAGCTGTTAAATTGGGTATCTTGGAATAATTTTTTAATGTGACCCTTTTTCCTTGTCTTTTATTATGCCGATTTTTAAATTCAGTACTGAAATCCAAATGCAAATACTTGCATGTTTCCCAAAAAAAAGTACAATGTACCCCAGTCATCCATTTTAAAATCCCCATCAAGTTCCTGCTGCAAGAAAGCAAGAAAGGCTTTCTTTTCTTTAGAAAGCCCTACTTATCTTACTAGTGTACTCGTAATCTGTAATGAAATATATTTTAAAAAGTAACCTTCCCAACACTGTTTCTATATTGTCAAGTCGCATTTAACCTGGAATATTTCTTTAAAAATTCTCTCAGGTTTGATCATTAACATTGTCACAAACTTCAGTTCCATTCACCTCTCACTGTGTTCTTCCTCCTGCAGAAAACTATACAGTTAGTGGCCCAGAAGGAAAGACAGAGTCAGTGGCCACACTGCAGCCACAGCCATCCCTGAACTCTCTGCAGAGTAGCTCTCCTGGACCCAAGCGCTCTGGGAATACACTGAAGAAATGGCTGACCAGTCCTGTCCGACGTCTAAGTCATGGCAGTAACATCAAGAAGATCCCAAGTAAACAGAAACAGAAACGTGATGGTCGCAAGAGTATTGATATGGGGCCGCCCGAACTACAGGATGACACCTTGGAAGAGGTATAGCGCTGTTTTTCAGTTTTTCTATTTTATTTATTTATTATATTTGTCTGAGTTTTTTTTTTTTTTACAGTATAATGCCTCCTTCATTTCTCCATAGCAATTTTTTACACAATCATTACTGTACAGAGAAAAGTAGCCCTCTTGTTCTGCAGCCAGTATTAACGCCATATTAAAGGGTCTCTTTGGCCCCGTTCAGATCAGAGGGTGATGATTAGCCTGACTTTTTAAAGCTGTGTGCCATATAATGTGCTGCTACAAAAGAGCTTTTGTATTTCTACAGCGGGGTTTGTGGAGCTCACAACAATGGAAGATATTACCCATGCCTGCTGTCTTCCAGAGCTACAGCAAATTCTCCAACGATAAATTCAAAGCATTTCATCTATTTCACTAGAAGCCAAACAATAAATTAATAGAAGTGCTTGAGGCTGTGAATCAAGAAGATTTCAACACAGTTTGAAAACACATGGTTTTCAGATTTGTGTTGGTGTTTGAACATACTAATGTACAGTTGAAGTCAGAATTATTAGCCCCCTTCAATTTTTTTTCTTCTTTTTTAAATATTTCCCAAATTATGTTTAACAGAGCAAGAACATTTTCACAGTATGTCTGATAATATTTTTTTCTTCTGGAGAAAGTCTTATTTGTTTTATTTTGGCAAGAATAAAAGCAGTTATTAATTTTTTAAACACCATTTTAGGGACAAAATTATAAGCCCCTCTAAGCTATATTTTTTCTCGATAATCTACAAAACAAACCACTGTTATACAATAACTTGCCTAATTACCCTAAGCTGCCTAGTTAACCTAATTAACCTAGTTAAGCCTTTAAATGTCACTTTAAGCTGTATAAAAGTGTCTTGAAAAATATCTAGTCAAATATTACTTAGTCATCATGGTAAAGATGAAATGAATCAGTTATTAGAAATTCTTTCTAGTTCTTAAAACTATTATGTTTAGAAATGTGTTAAAAAAAATCTCTCCGTTAAAATGAAATTGAGGAAAAAATAAACAAGCGGTGTAATAATTCAGGGGGGCTAATAATTCTGACTTCAACTGTAAGTAGCTAAATACTTATGTAAAGCAGCTAATAGTAATTTATAATAAATTCTATAGATACCATTAACTTTTTTTTTTTTGCTTTTTCTTCACATAATTTTGTAAAAAGAAATAAATAAGAAAATCTGTTGATGTATGTGAAATGTTTTTATGAGTGCGGCAACTTAAAACCTGAGATAAAAATAAAAATACACTCAAAATCCAAAAATATACCGCATTTTTTGGTAAACAAAGCTAAAGCAGTTTTCTTATCTAATACTGTACATCTACTTAAAGACAGAAGATATTACTTTATTCTATACATGTACATAACTTATCTAATCATTTGCATATCACATTATATTACAGAGATGAAATAATATAGGAATAAATATGTTTACACACAATTACACAAGTAAATAAATCTATTGAATAATGGGCTCAGAAATCTGTGGATTTCTTTGTGCGCAGACTTTGTTTCCGCATAACCATAACCTATATAATAAAGTGTATTTTACTGTACATATTATATTTACAACACTTTTTAAAATAGAATCGACTGTAGTTAACTGAAAACATGTAATAAATACTTTAGTGTACTTCAATTTTACTACATTAGTTGCAGAAAAAAATTAGTTGTATAAAACTACAAAATGTGGGAAAATTGTTTAAATTACTATAGTTGTGTTATATTAGCAACAATAGAATTACCATAACTGATTAATTTGAGTTCATTGCATTCTAGTATGGTTCAACAACACTATAGTATTTACTATAAGTTGCTAATAGCATATTTTCAGGTGGCTCAGGTGATTTAAATATGTCCGGGTTCAATATATAAAGCAAATAATCCTCAGCGATCGCTTTCTAAGCCAGATTTTGAGTGTGTTCTCAAAAGATTAGCATGGTTTTCTTGGTCTTGTTTTTTTTTTTTGGTTTGTTAGTTTTATTTAATTATCTTAATAAATTATCTTATTGTTATTGTTATTTTATAGTTTTTTTTTTGCTTATTTGTTTTTATTTATTTGTTTGTTAGATTTTAATTTAATAATAATAATAATAATAATAATAATAATAATAATAATGTCATTTATTTGTAAATGTATTCGTTTGTTTATTTGATTGTTTATGTTTGTTTCTTTTTATTTATTTAATTGTTTTTTATTAATTTACTTTGAATAATTTCTGTGATTTATTTTTTGTTTGATTTTATTTGTTTATTTTATGTTTGTTTTTATTTGTTTTGTATTATGTTTTATTTTGTATTTTATTTTTTATTTTTTGTTGCTGCTCTATTCATTTCTTTATTTATTTTTGTATATTTTTGTTTGTCTGATTGTTATTTATTTATTTATTTATTTTATTATTTTTTTTAAATAATAATTAATTCAATAATTTTTTCTCTAATTTGTCTGCAGAAAAAAACACTGTTGTAATAAAAATAAACATGTAATAGACTGTGAATTTCAGACACTTTGCAGAATAGCTCCGATGTGAACAATAACAAGTCAGTCTCAGTCTGAAGTTCAGGATGGAGAGGAAGAGCTGCCATCATGTTGTCTATTCTTGTGTTTCCAGCGAGTGCAAAAAGAAGAGGGCACACTCTCCAAGTCTTCGTCTGGGATGCACAGTGGAGGAGAGGAAGAGCCTGAGGACGAGTCTCACACTCCTCTACCTCCACCAATGGAGATCATTAAAGACCCGTCGGCTCAGGAAGAGAAGGTACACAAGCACAATACAGACAATAGATTTATTCAATACATCACTCATCATGTGTTCATAACTAACTCCACCCGCCCCCCTCATACTTGTATGCAACCCCTTCACACAAAGGGGCTTTACTAACTTTACTAATGATTTTTTCCTCCCTGATGTCAGTGTTGTTCATAACTCTTGGGTGGAGGCGTCCCATCTCAGTCAACTAACCATAAGTACATCCTATTGTTGCAGGGAAGCTTAAATCATGTAGTTGTGAAATATTATTGTGAAATTCAACTCTGGTTCTTTTTACACACTGTGCCTTGCAGTTGTAGTAGTAATGTTTATATGACCCCAAATGTATCTGAATTAAGTGAATGTTGGATGAATATTTTCATATACATACATACATACATATATATATATATATATATATATATATATATATATATATATATATATATATATATATAAAAGAGCGTATATGTTAACATTATATGGAAACATTCGTTTATATTTTCCAGAACAACTGACCACAGAGTTATGAGACCAGAAAAATATCAGTCTGTAAACATGTTTTGTACTATATATGAGGGAAATAAACATGCATTATGGATGTGACCATAAAAGTCTGTGGGTTAACAGTATACAACATACTTTGTAGAAATTCTGTGAATTAAACTGCACAACGCAAAAGAAACAATGATAATCAATAGGATAAGACTTGGCTCTCTATAAAACAAAAATTATTTATCAGGAAAAAGTGTCGTTTTGTATGTGACGTCTCTCCATTATTGATCTGACAGATGTGAAACTGCCACTTATGTGATTTTGGCAAATCAAATCGAATAGTTTGAAAACATTGACGGATACATTTTTGAGTATTTCTAAAGTACTGTAAAATACTTGCTTACCCAAAAAACCCAGAAACGGTTTTCATGGTAAGGTTGACATTTGCACAGAATTGCTTATAATATATATATATATATATATATATATATATATATATATATATATATATATATAACAAGACCTTTTTTGTACCCCATTTTTAAAATAAATATTTGTATTTATTTTTCAGTAAATATAAGTGATATATTTTAATACGTTTGAACAAAACAGGTCTATCAAATATCAATATATTTATTAAAATAATTTTTAGTCACCGAACATTTTTTCGAAATAAAAACATTATACATTTCCATGCGAATAAATTGAGGGGTAAAATTACAAACTACAAAATGTTATAATTTTTTGGATTCTTTAGAATTTTCCTCTTTTTTTATTTTATTTTTGTTTTAGTATTTTTCCTAACATTTAAATTTGGGTGTACTGATTTTAGATGGTTATCAAAAGTTATTTTGTTCGATTAGCTCTAGATGTGGCTTCAGTACTGACTAATCTAATGTATAAGCACAAATATAATACTGTACAGCTTCATTCAGAAAATATGAGAGACTTGTGGGCGGTGAACTCGTATATGTTGAGAACTGTGTGTATGTGTATTTATCAACACAATCTCACGGCAATTCCTAACTTTTTAATTTAGTGGCTAATTCGTATGAATTTGTACGATCTAATTTATACAGTTTAGTACAATTTGCTCATCCCCCAATGACTGTTGGGTTAAGGAGTGGGGTTAGGCGCCACACCTCCTTTTTAAAATCTTACAATTTCGTAAGACTGAACTCGTACAAAATCATACGAATTAGCCACTAAACTGACAAAACGTAAAATACTTATGTTTTCTCGTGAGATTAGGCTGGTATTTATATATTGCAAATATCAGTATATATATATATATATATATATATATATATATATATATATATATATATATATATATATATATATATATATAGTATTAATATTATATATAGTATACACACCAGTATAAATAAAATATTACAAATGTTCTATACCATTCCAAATAATCCAAGCTGTTCTAAAGCAAAACACTTGCTGGTTCAATATAATTTGTTCGTTTAAATCTATCATTGTAATGAGCATTTGAGAAGATCATGTCAACGTAAGATTTGTAGTGGCCATTGAAGTACACTGTAAACAATAGTCATATATACAGTTTTCCCTATTTTGTGATTCATGTTTTAATTGTGTTCTCTTTTATTTATGCTTTTGAATTGCATTATAGGACCTTGATCTTTCTTACAAAAACTTTACCCCGTTAAAGTTAAAAAAGTGACTTTTATTAGCATTTTTAATAGTTTGCAGTGATGTATTGTCTGGGTCGGTGTTGCATATTATAATACCAAAACCTTGTAATAAACTGCCAGTGCATTTTCTGTTCTTTTGCAGACTTATATCTCTATACGTTAGTTTATCATTAATATTATCAATAAAAGTCACTTTGTTAATCTGTAGAGTTTAATTTTCTACATCAAAAGTCGACAGAGACTAGATTAAGCTCCCATAATGCAATTCACAATTGTTTTTAAACGAAAAAACACTTGTGAATCAAAACATGGAAACTGTGAATTTACGAAGATTATTTTACATTGTAGGCCTTATTTACTTCATGTAAAATAGAATGAAAATTTTAACTAGATTCGGAGCAGAAATGTTTAGTGTCAACCTTTTCTTCACACGTGTAAAGGCTGATTTATACTTCTGCGTCAAACGCCGGCGTATGCTACGGCGCTGACGCATAGCCCTTCGCCGTGGCCGTCGGCATCGCTGACGTGCACCTCTCAAAACATGTAACTACACGTCGCAACGACACGTAGCGCAAGCTCTGTGATTGGACGGCTTGGTAGCGCTGACGAGTCTGGGCGGGACAGAGAGCCGCGTGAATGGTGCGAGCCTGATGGAGCGATTGTTTACAAGTGTGGAGTCCTGTGAAGGAGCTCCGGATGGAAAGTTTTGTTTTGTGTTTACCTCATAGTTAAAGTTGTTGCACGTCCGCCGCTTCCTACCTCAAAATGAGCGAGTTTGAGCCACTTGTACATCCCGGAAGTGTTCAGGAAAACAAAACAGCAGCGAAGAAACTCGACACAGGAATATTAACACCTCACTGCCAACTAGTGTTTTGAAAGTGTAATGCAGACCATTAGAGACAACGCGCAGAAGTATAAATGCACAGCTACGCGCGTGCATGCGCCGTGGGTTACGCCGGTCACTTGACGCAGAAGTATAAACCAGGCTTAAGATTGTCACAGGCCTTCTCTTCTCTTCTCTTCTCTTCTCTTCTCTTCTCTTCTCATACCAAAGCTTTATCATGCTAACTGCTTCTCCAGTACCCTGAGCAGCTGCTGTTCTGACCTGCCTGTGTGTTTTTCCTCCATCTAATGTCTCTCCCCTCCTCCACTGCTGTCCCCTGTAGTCGTCTGTGCTTCTGGCTTCCCGGCAGAGCTCGGCTGATGTCCCCAGTGCTGCTGAGCTTGTCAGTGCTATAGAAAAACTGGTCAAAACTAAAATGGTGAGTAGGGCTGCTGAACCCAAACCTGATTTCCCTCCTCTGGCAGGAAGGGACTGATCCAACAACCTCCGGGTTTTCCTCTTTTTCTGTCTTTCTTTTCCCCCTTGCTTTGAGACAATCACTAATGCTTGGGCATGTGCTGCATTAATGAGTTAATCTGCACACAAGTCACAAGTGTTGATCTGTTTGATGTACATTTGACATTTGTTTATACACTGTAAAACACGATTAGTTGAAAAAAAAAAGAGTAAACGTGTTGCCTTAAAAGCAATGAGTTGACTTTACTTTAAAAATGAGTCAGTTGTAACTTGGAATGGTTAAGCTGGCTTAATTAAGTTGGCTTAGTGCTTTCCTTGCTATTGACAAGATAATGTATACATTACAAAGTAGTTACTTTTTCATGAAATCTACATGGATTTAAGTGGATATAAAACATGAACACATGAAGATAAAATAAATTGGTTTTAAAGCAGAGGGTGGGATCTTTAGTTTGATATATATTATATTACTGGATGAAAATATTCTGAGGGCTGTCAAATTTAGGTGAAAATCAAAAATGCTGGCAACTTAAAAAAACAGTGGCAGGGAAAGAGTTAATAAGATTAACTTATTTTTTAAATAATTATTGAAATTTTAAGGCAATAAGTTTACAGTGGTCCCTTGTCATTCACAGGAGATTTGTTCTAAAAATAACCTGCAATAGGCAAAATCTGCGAAGTAGTCAGCTTTATTTATTTTTTTACAATTATAGATGTTTTATATAGATGTTCAGGTGTGTTTGAATAGGGTTGGAGCTAAAATCTGCAGGACACGGGCCCTCCAGGAACAAGTTTGGTGACCACTGCTATACACTATTAAATACAGCTCATTACACCAGTATTATAAGGATATGGTTCTTCTAAGCTTTGTACTGTTGATAAGGGAAAACTGTCTTTTTTAAGGGGACTAAGCCAAAAAGAACATGAATGAATGAATGAATAAATTATTATTATTAATAATAGTTATTATTAAGTCTAGTAGTTAGTGCGTCGACATGTAGCACCCAGGTGCTCGCGGCAACCCGAGTTCGATTCCAGACTCGAGATCCTTTGCCGATCCTTCCCCTCTATCTGCTCCCCATGCTTTCCTGTTTGTTAATCTCTACTGTCCTGACAATAAAGGTGAAAACCCCTAAAAAATAATTATACAAATGTTTTTTTTTTGTTTTTTTTTTAGAAAGAAAATCAGATTCGGTCAATATCTGTAGCGACGATCACACTTAGCAAAAAGGAAAATTGGAATCAGCCTAGACGATTGCAAAAAGTGCATCTCTTGCAGACAGTACATCAACACACTGAAATAAAAGTCTCAACAACTTCCTGACAATAAATGAAGTCAGCTCTGATAATGATAAAGTGACAAACAGCCTTCAAAACTCTTAAAAAACCTTTCAAACTTGCCCAAAGAAGGAACATCGATACATTTGTCATTACTGTCATTATATGACTTGCCTAATTACCCTTGTCCAATTAACCTAGTTAAGCCTTTAAATGTCACTTTAAGCTGAATACTAGTATCTTGAAAAATATCAAGTAACATATTATGTACTGTCATCATGGCAAAGAATTCAGTTATAAGAAAGGAGTTAATAAAACTATTACGTTTAGAAATTTCTGTTAAGCAAAAATTGTAGAAATAAAACATACAGTGGAGGGGGGCTGATTATTCAGGAGGGTTAATAATTCTGACTCCAACAGTTTGTGGTTCACTTTGTTAGCTTAAGTGAATTTTCTTTTTCTCCTCAGAATGTCTTGAGTAGGTCTGATGATGTTTAGGGCTGTCTCACACACACAGAGACACACACTGTTTGTGTTTTCCCACATCAGGTCTGGCTTCTGCCAAATACAGGGATTGAATCTGAGCGTGTTTGTCTTGTCTGTGTTCCTCTAGACACTGGAGCCAGGCTCATACCCGGGATTCAGCTCAGTCAATCCAGCAGAGCAGAGCCCGATTCCACCCAGAAACCCAGAACTAGAGCAGAAAGCCAAAGCGCTACGAGGACGAATGTAAGAGACACCTGCCTTTCACTTATTTGTAAATTGTACATTTCATTTATTATCAGGAACTATTAAAGTAATTCTTGATGTATTTATTCATTATTATTTATGTTTTGTTTGAATAAAATTGAATTTTTACCACAAGACCATTAAATAAAAAGTGTATTGTGCCTGATCTAAAATTTATAGATGAATCCTTTCGTGTCAGTTGAAAAAACAATCTTTATTAACTATACTATGCTTCTTCTTTTGTAGGTTTGTAGTCAAGGAATTAATCCAAACGGAAAAAGACTATGTTAAAGATCTGGGAATTGTGGTTGAGGTGAGAAACAAGCTTTTAACAGAAAACAGCAAACATAACGACACTCTGTTTACACTGCCCGTTAAATGAGACCCAATTCCGTTTTTTTGCTCCTATGGGACACAGATCGGATCTGTTCTATTCGGATATTCAGAGATCGGTTTCAGAGATCGGCCTCCTTCATATGTGGAAATAAATCAGATATAGATCGGATATGTGACAATGCGACTCATGTAAACAGGCAGATCGGATTTATTGAGGCATTCCGTTCTGTACATCATTAAACTTCTGACAATGTGGTGCTTCTCCACGGTTTAATGACAGAAGGAAGAGAGTGTGTGGAGATGCCGACGCGATAAACAACAACAGAGGAAACAGAGGAGGAAAGTGGTCGATCGCCACAATTTGCTCCCACCAGACCTGAGATCTCTCTCGTACCCACAAATTCCTCTGAATGGTGGAGGACATCATAAAGCATATAAACCATAAGCGCAGGCTGCGATGACGGCCCTTTCCCACCTCCGCCTCAAAATCATTTTAAAGTTGGGCGAACTTCGTGTTGTAACTTTTGCTTTTTGTCGCTATTAATACACGCACTGCGGGCTACACATAGAACAACTTTATTCACTCCAACACCTGTGCATACCTGTCAACCCTCCCGTTTTTCCCGGGATTCTCCCGTATTTTACAGTTCTATCCCGCTATCATCCCGTAAAGGTATTTTCCCGTATTTCTCCCGTATTTTTAGTCTTTCTCTCTATAGCCTCCCTATACGCAACCCATACCCCCGAACCACCAGGGGTCGCTCCTTGCTCTACAACGTGAGTCTTCTGTGCTTTCACTTTGTTTAGGAATAAAAACACTTATAAATAAATATTAAAAACGCCGCAATTCCATTTCCTTTTGATTACAAGTGCCGTCGCTCATCCTATACAATCCTCAAAACAGTCATATAACTTAATGTTCCATGACTGTCAGCTGACGTGCTCCATAGTGATAAACAGATGGTCTGGCTTTTATGTGCATGTTTAAACAGACATACACACATAATTATTAATAATAACATATAAAGATGTCGATCTTGGTGTTTTTTTTTTTTTCCAAACACAACTAATTTCGTCTTAAATGAGCATAAAAAGTTAGGAAAGCAGTCGAATGCTTTCATTATAACATTAGATGTGTGCATTTTTAAAGTGACACCTCTTATTTAATCTAATAGAACAATCTTAATAAATGAGAGATTCATTCGTTGCTCTTTAATCAGAATGTGTAAGTTATACAGTGGAGTAACGGATAATGAGATTGATAGCTGGATTCTATTTCATTATAATAGCTATTGATTTTAATAAGCTGAACTGTTTGCTAATGTATTTGCTGCTAATGTATATATTTATTTTTCTTTTGTTAATAATAATTTAAAAACGTATTACTGACCATTTAACTGTTTATTTATTTACAATGAAACAGCTCCAAATTAACCTATTTAGTAATTTGGGGATATTTTTAGGGGGGAGGGGGGGTAGTTGGGGGAATCCCTTATTATGGTGGGCATATCCCTTATTTTCACATCCCAATGTTGACAGGTACAGTATGCACCAGTGCGCACACAGGCAAAGGCTACATCTTCAACTACACACACACACATCAGGGCCATACCATTACATAAACTGCGTGGGGGTAAATCTGGACTGAACCATTCACAGCTTATACTACACCACGCATATTTCGCAGAGCTAAAAACAAGACAATTTCTTCCATCGTGGCTAGTGTGGCACAGATGCTAGAACCCGCCTTTATGCATACGCGACATCGTAATTGTATAGCAAGTGTAAATGCATGAAATAGATATGCGTCACAATTAAAACAATGTGTAAACAGACAGGCAAACAAATCAAATATAAGCAACAAATCGGAATTGGGCATCAAGACCTGACAGTGTAAACGGGGCCTATGATAGTGACTGAAGGCACATTTGATGAGATGTAGCATCAATATAAGTCCTTTCTCTTTAAACTTTATTCATTTTTCTTTCCTACCTTGTTTTACTCTGCTTTTGCATTTGAATCATAAGAGCTTTTACTTGAGTGGAAGTGATGTCATCCTACTGTTTGTTTATTATCATTTACAAACACTATAGATGGACATGTGCATTACTGTTGCTTATCATTGCTACAACATTTGGTTTTTCTGAAGGGGTTTATGAAGAGAATCGAGGAGAAAGGAGTTCCTGATAACATGAAAGGAAAAGATAAGATCGTCTTCGGAAACATTCACCAAATCTATGACTGGCACAAAGAGTATGTTTCTCAGGTTGTCTTATTCTTATTTGCGGACGACAAATGGTGGAAATGAAAGTAATTCTGTTGTCAATTGCTGTTGAAGTTTTTTTGTTGGAGAACTGGAGAAATGCCTGGAAGATCACGAAAAACTGCCTGAACTGTTCTGTAAACATGTAAGTATGTGTTTGACATGAGCTGTGATTTGGTTGAACTGTGTTAAGGCATTGCTCGTTAAGTTCTTGTGTCTTGTGTGTGCAGGAGAGACGGTTACACATGTATGTAGTTTACTGTCAGAACAAACCCAAATCCGAGTTCATCGTTGCAGAATATGATTCATACTTTGAGGTAAGATGCACTTGGTTTACTATCATCCTGGTTCCCTTTGCAAAAAAGCCAGACCTTTGCCCTCATTGACCTTTGGATTATTGGGCTGACATTTATGATACATGTTTTGCTCGTGAAGAAAATCTCGGGAAACGGCACTAAGTTTAAATACAACTGAAAACATAGGGCTGGGCAATAGGCATGGGCCTGTTTAAGACTGTGATGGTATAATAACCTTGGATAAAGATATCCTGGTTTCACGGTATTGTGATTACTGCTTTAAAATATGTTCTTTTAAAATGTCATTAACTTTTTCTCCATGAACACAATATATTTTATTTTATCGTGCATTTTCTTTTCTTTTTTCTCTCTCACTGGTTTCATGTTGTGACGTGCTCTTCTATCATCAGCACACTCATTTCACTTCCATAGCTTTATCATTACTTTGCTTCATACTATAGTACCATGATAATACGTTTTGAATACTTCAGCTAAGTATGACTCTGTACTTTGCTGAATACTAGGATGTTATAAAGATGACAACATCCTTGATTCCACACTCAGTCATTCCATCATCAAAGTACGCCTTTCTTTAGTGTGGATATGTGAAAATTACATACTCTGCCTTTAGGGATTATGCAACCAGAATTTCAAAAACTTTTTTATGTACTTGCAATATTTTGAATCCATAAATATTTACATTAGATGTTGCCTACGATATTGTTGTCTATTGTAAGGAATGTGTCAATAGAGCCGCTATTTTACTACAGAGTAGCACACCTTTGAAATGAATGTGGGGCTAAGGTGCACTAAGGAAATTTTCACAGTATGTCTAATATTTTTTTCTTCTGGAGGAACTGTTGTTTTATTTCAGCTAGAATAAAAACAGTTCTTAATTTTTTAAAACCCATTTTAAGGTCATAATTATTAGCCCATTTAAGCAATATGTTTTTTGATAGTCCACAAAACAAACCAACATTATAAAATAACTTGCCCAATTACCCTAACCTGCCTAGTTAACCTAGTTAAGCCTTTAAATGTCACTTTAAGCTGAATACTAGTGTCTTGAAGAGTATCTAGTCAAATATTTTTTACTGTCATAATGGCAAAGATAAAACAAATCGGTTATTAGAAATGAGTTAATACCACTAATATGTTTAGAAATGTGTTAAAGAAATATTCTCTCCGTAAAACAGAAATTAGGAAAAAATATGGTCAGTATGCAAATATATATTTTTTGAATTACACAAATTATAATTTGACATCACTTTTCTACATTGATGGATAAGTGACCGCACGGGCATTGCTGATAAAGGGCATGTGTTTGTCTGCATGGAAATGTATTATCCTCCCTACCAGTTAAATTTGATCTAATTTGTGTCCTGAAACACACCCCCTCTCCTGCTTTTACTTCTGATTCTAACAGAGGGAGTGATTCGTTTGTGAATAAATCTTCGTTATGAGTGACTCGTTCACTCAGCGACAATAATACAAGTTTCAACACATTTCTGAACATAATAGTTTTAATAACTCACTTCTATTAAGTGATTTCTTTTATCTTTGCCATGATGACAGTAAATAACATTTGACTAGATATTTTTCAAGACACTTCTATACAGCTTAAAGAGACATTTAAAGGCTTAACTAGGTTAATTAGGTTAACTAGGTGGGTTAGGGTAATTAGGCAAGTTATTGTGTAACAATGGTTTTTTCTGTATAGTAAAAAAATACATATAGCTTAAAGGAGCTAATAATTTTGTCCTTAAATGTTGTTTAAAAAATTATAAACAGCTTTTATTCTAGCCGAGAATAGATAAATAAATAAATAAATAAAACTTTCTTCAGAAGAAAATATATTAAGACATACTGTGAAAATTTCCTTGCTATGTTAAACATAATTTGGGAAATATTTAAAAAAGAAAAAAATCAAAGTGGGGCTAATAATGCTGACTTCAACTGTATATCTATGTTTTGAATCTCATTAGCATGTTTGTGTGTGTTTGGGTCACAGGGGATTCAGCAAGACATTAACTCCAGACTGAGCATCAGCGATTTTCTCATTAAACCCATTCAGAGAATTACTAAATACCAGCTTTTATTAAAGGTACTGTGGACATCAGCGGTTTGATGCAAGTAGTAAATAATACTGTTTAATTGATGTACAACATTTAAATTTATTTATTTTTTGTTTGTTTTTGTTGTTATCAAGGATGTTTTGAAGTACAGTACAAAAGCAGGACTGGATTGTCAGGATATAGAGGTAAACATACATTCAATTTTGAAGAAGTTGGTTCAATTTCCCCATGATTATGGATTCTGTGAAGATTGTCCAAATAAGAAGTGGTAAACTAATAATAATAATAATAATAATAATTCCTTACATTTTTATAGCACTTTTCTGGGCACTCAAATCACTAAACACAATGGGGGGAATCTCCTCATCCATCACCAGTGTGCAGCATCCACCTGGATGATGCGACGGCAGCCATTTTGTGCCAGACCGAACACCACACACTAGCTGATTGGTGGAGAGGAGACAGAAGCTGCGTCTCAAATGGCACACTATACACTATGCATTCATGCACTGTGTACTTCTGGCAACTATTCCACAATGGCCAAAGCCCAGTATCCCTTTTTTTTACTTTTATTTGGGAACATTTACGATTTCTGAACATTTAGCAGATGTTAACGGTCACAAGTTTTAGATAAATAAGAAGATCCAAAATAGTACAATTTAAAACTCCATTAAAAGACATACCAGCAACCAGTGCAGAGAGAGAAATTGTTGAAGAATGAACAAAGTTTACTGTTTTATTGCACTTTTGTGTCATTTGTTGAAGCATCTTTTATTTCGTGCCCGGAGCTCAATTGTTTTTCTTGGCCTTATTGTTTGTCTTCACAACAGAATGCAGTTGACCTGATGTCCCAGGTTCCCAAGCTTTGCAATGACATGATGAATCTGGGAAGACTGCAGGGATATGAGGTATGAAAGGGCTTCACTCCTGAGGTTTCATCAAACTAAAAAATGTAGTAAAAAACAAGATGATTTTACCATGATTGAGCTCAGGTTCTTCAGTTATTCACCCTCAGGGGATTCCAAACACATTCATGTGTTTGATTTAAAATGTATTTATTTTTTTGTTTAGAAGCTTAATCAAGGTCTTGTGGGTTTGAAACAACATGAGGGTAAGCTAACAATGACTACGTTTACATGGATATCAGTGATCGAATTATTTGCCCTAATCTAATTAAGACAATAATAGGATTAAGCTGTTTACATGTCTGTAATGCACTTTAATAATGCGACTAAAATCGGCATACTCTACACGTCTTAATTCGATTTCTCTTTAGTTCAGATTATGTTAGTTAGATTTATATATATATATATATATATATATATATATATATATATATATATATATATATATATATATATATATATATATATATATATATATATATCAGTTTAGTTTAGATTATGACCTTAATCTGATTAAATTAATCAAAAATTGCTGTTTACATGGTCGACTCTTAATCAGAGTAATCACATTAAAATCAAATTATTGGTGTCCATGTAAACATAGTCACTGGCAACCAGTGTTGGGTGTATTTAGTTACAAAGTAACTACTTAATGTTATTAGATTACTTTACCACAGTAAAAGTAACTAAAGTAAGGAGATACTTTTCATTTTCAGGTCATTTAATTACAGTTACTTATAATTTATTTATTTTGCAATGTAAGAACTGTTCATAAATTCAACAGTTCTGGATTAATCGATTAAGAGAAGCAGAGTAATTCATTTATCAAGTAGACTGAACATGCTTGAGAACCTATGCACAGAAAGTCAGAAATCCATGTCAATGTATGGTAGGTATGAAATATTGTGTCATTGTTTTTAAATGTTTCGTTAGGATACATATCATTTTTAACCATTCTTAAAGGGTTACATTTTAAATAAAGCTAAAAGGTCATGTTTAACTCCGTTTTAAGGAATTAAAAGAGTTTTATTTCTATTGTCTATGTGGCATTAAGATTTATTTGAAGTGCATTTATTAAGTTCCGCCAACTTCAGCATGTTCCAGCATGTTTTACACAGCAGATGCCCTTCTATATGCAACCCAGTACTGGGAAACACTAATTCACATACACTAAGGCCAATTTAGTTTATTAAATTCACCCATAGTGCATATCTTTGGACTGTGGGGGAAAACTGGAGCACACAGAGAAAACCCATGTGAACACAGAGAGAACATGCAAACTCCACACAAAAACACCATCTGGCCCAGCCAGGATGCTGCTGTGAGGCAGCAGTGCTAACCACTGATCCACCATGTCACCACTAAGTTTTAAGTTGTGTTGAGTAAATTCATTTAATTACTTATTGAGTAACTAAAAATGTAATTTAAATACAATTTTAAATATGTAATTAGTAATTACTTTTTTTACACTTATGGCAAGAATTAACATTTTGTGGTTGAAATGTTGAAAATTAAAATTTTGACACAATTCAAGCTTCCTTCCGAATCATTGACATGTTAATGTTCTCTTCAGTAGCTTATAGTTAGTGAGTTCTTTGAGACATCATGATTTAGAATGTTAAGTTTTGTATGTTCGTGTCCTTCAGGGGAAGTTGACGAGTCAAGGAAAACTCTTGCAGCAGGAGACGTTCTTTGTGACCGAGCAGGACTCTGGCGTTCTGTCCCGCAGTAAAGAGCGCAGGGTTTTCCTGTTCGAACAAATTGTCATCTTCAGCGAGCTGTTACGTAAAGGCTCTTCCACTCCAGGGTACCAGTTCAAGAAGAGCATAAAGGTAACTGAACCACTGTTAATTATTGACTTTATTTTAGAATAAAGTATATTAAGCACAAAGTACATTGTTTTTTATGTATACTATACGCTAAGCTTATATTGAATGTGACAAATTTCATCAGCAAAATAGTATTTTGCAGTATTATTTGTATGATTAGACTATTTGTACATCAACCTTTTTATTTTTATTATTATGCCACCCTGGAGGTTAACAGGGTTGCTTATATATTTTTGTCAAAAAACAGGCATATAAATGTGCATTTTATTAATGTTTTTTGTAGAAAAAAGCTGTGAAAAGTGTTGAATTTGCATCGTATTTTAAAGGGCTTGGAGATTCATCGAAAATAAACAGCAATCAATTTCCTATATGATAAATCGATTGTCATGCACAACTAGTCAATGAAGCATGGTTGTGTGATCAGCAGTACATCTCCTCTGAAGCTAGAGGGCACTCTTGTGCAGAAACTCCAAACACTCATGAAGAAGAAACTCATGAATGCCATTAGCGTTGCATAATAAACAGTATTTAACTTAAAATAATAATCAATATAAGTGGTTCATTGATTCAGCGAGACTAATATTCACACAATTACGGAATTATTCATTCTGATCTCACGGGAAAACGTAAGACGTTAATGTTTTGCCAGTTTAGTGGCTAATTCGTACGAGTTCAGTCGTACGAAATTGTATGATTTTAAAAAGGAGGCGTGGCACCTAACCCCACCCCTAAACACAACCGTCATTGGGGGATGAGCAAATCGTACTAAATTGTAAGAATAAGATTGTACGAATTCATACGAATTAGCCACTTAATGAAAAAGTTACAAATTGCCGTGAGATTGTGTTGTATCATTCCACAGAAGAATTCATTTCAAACACTTGCCAATAGTTATGAAGTGAGTTGAGCGTAATAACATTATTAAATGTGGTATTTTCACAATCATAGGTCACTGAGAAACGGTGCTAACAGCTGTCATAATCACAGTATGATTACCTTGATTTCACTCGATTTTAAATACAGTTTTGCGTAGCTTTTCAGGATACTTTTGATTCTGTGTAGTGAATGTTGCTCTATCTGAACTCAAGTGTTGGACATTTACTACAGCTGGCTTTACTCACAATATGTGCATGAAAACCGATTAATCGGCCAGCCCAAGTCATTAAATAAGGGATAAAAATAGACGGATGGAGACATAGCTAATGCTGCAAGACAGCTGAAGTCATGTGTGACTTGTATTTTTGCGCAGGTGAGCTTCCTTGACTTGGAAGAGCATGTTGAAAATGATCCATGCAAGTTTGTGCTGTCGTGTCGTGGGTCGGCAGAACGTTTTACCCTTCAAGCAGCAAACACGGACATTAAACAAGTCTGGGTTCAGCATATCACCCAACTACTAGATTTACAAAGCAACTTCTTGTCAGGTAAAACATCACATAAATCTTGTACATTTGAATGAACTCTCATTTTTGCTGAGCCATTAAAATAATTAGGTGCATGTATCTACAGCTCTGCAGTCTCCTATTGAGTATCAGAAGGAGCGTAGTGGCTCTCAATCTCTGACCCGGAACTCTTCTGGGCGGATGGGTCAGTCCAACAGCAGGCCCTGCTCCACGGTTTCACTCGGAGCAGAGAAACCCTCTCTGTCTGGACGGAGCTCCACCCCGCTAAAGCTATCTACCTCCAATGGTGGTCCATGCTCTGAAAGATACCGCAGGGTGAGAACACAGTACCTCTGTTAACCATAAATAGATCATTTAAGAAAATGTTTGTGCTGAAATTCTCTGTGTGGTGAATAGATGAAGATCGATTGTTTTGTTCCAAAACAGGGATTAAAAATGTCACAATGTAATCGAAATATTTTCTTTTATAAGGCAAAGTTCCTAAAGGGACCAAAATAGCTAATGGCCCGTTTCCACTGAGTGGTATGGTACGGTTTGGATTTGGTACGCTTTTATGGCCGTTTCCACTGTCAAAAAGCATAACGAACCAAACCATACCATACCATTTTTTTCGGCACCCTTTCTAAAAGGTAGCAAATGGGAGAAAGGGTATCAAAAGGTGGAGCTACACGTGCAGCTGAATGCTGATTGGTTACAGAGATACGTCACAAGCTTGTGGAGCTACACAGAACGTAAACAAAGGAACCGCCATGTTTTTTTTAAATAGAAAGCCGAGACATTACATGTAAATACTATAGAGACCCGGACTCAAACTCTACTAAACTCTACTCACATTGGTCAGAGTTCCACGGTTTGTTTTCCCGCTCAGCTGTTATACGTCATTATTGTAATTTATGACTATGAGCATTAAGACATTCTAAGCGAAAAGCTGTGCTGTGAGGTAAGACTATTAAATACATAAAATTTGGCTAGAATTATCCATTATAGAGAGAAATAACAGATAAACCAAGACTGCAGTTCGGTCATATTTCCTAATCTTTCACTTTTTTTATTTAACATGAAACACAAATTTACCGGTAGGAATGACATCCCACCCTACTCGCCATTCTCTTTTCATATAGCCGTATATATGCCTATTTGGGGTGTCACGATTTAGATTTTTAATCGAAATCGAACGAAATTTATGCTCAATTTCGATTATCGAATCAAAAAATAGAATTGTCGATGTTGCCACGCCCCCATGTCACGTCAGCTTGGCTTGCCAAGCGGGAAAAAAGCAGGCTTGTTGAAGTGCTTGTTAAACTGCAGAAGCAGGAGACCCGCCGACAGAGCTTAAACCCTCTCCTCTTTCAATGAAGTCGCCGGTGTGTAAGCATTTTGGATTTCCAGTGAGTTATGTTGACAACGTTCGTGTTGTCGACAAAAAAAAAAAACACAGTTATGCAATGCTATGTACGTATTACGTATGGTTCGTCCGATAGACAACACCGATATCGCGATCCTCCGCCCACCCCCGTTGCAAATCCGCTCGCGAAAAGTACACACTGAGGCCCTGTTTACACTGTCTTTGTTTTTAAATGGCATTTTAGAACGACAACGATTTGACATCCACAGTGGCGTGTAGCATTTCTGAGCAGCCCTCCTTCCTCTCTACCTCTGAAAATGCACATCACGTGACCACACAGACACAGACGCACACACAGCCATGCGCTCGAGACAGCAGGTCCAGGCAGTCAGAGGACTGCTTCAATCTTTCACTCACTTGTACTTAGTCATTTTAGCGAACACCTCAGATACTGTTGGCTGGTTCCTGTTGGTTGTGCGTCTTTTTTACCGACGCCATTATAACGACACAGATCACTGCCTATTCACGAGTCCCGCAGAAAAAGTGATTAACAGGTGGTAATTATGTGTGTATCTTGCCTTTATTCATTTACTGTATGATTTGTTTATGGGTAAAACAAAGACCATGCAGGTCAGGTAGTTTAAACGGTAGGCTACAAATAATTAATTGGTCATTCATTAATTAATTATTCATAATCGAAAATCGAATCGAATCGTGCCTTTAGAATCAAAAATGTAATCGAATCGAGGATTTGGAGGATCGTGACACCCTTAATGCCTATTACATAACCATAATTCGCTGTGATGATCCTGGTTCATTAGTTTGTTAGATCGTATTGCTTACTTCACTGCAATCAATCCACTCCAGAGTTCGTTTCAATCTAACCGACACCACCTCATTCAGGTGATCTTGGACCAATTGTTTTGCCGTGGATCCGAGTGCGATGGTCCCACTTTATATTAAGTGGCCTTAACAAATATGTACTTACACAGGAATTAATAGTTCCTAATTAATAACCCAACCCCTATCCCAACGCAAGAGCACTACAAATGTTCTTAAATACATTATGAACGCAGTAAGTACATTGTATTTATTTTTTTGATGCAAGTACATAGTAGTTAAGGACACTTAATATAAAGTGTGACCGAAATCAGTTATTAGAAATGAGTTATTAAACTATTATGCTTAGAACAGAAATATACAGGTTGCTAATAATTCAGGAGGGTACTTCAACTGTACATATATGACAACCAAGGCGAATACTATAAGCTACTCCATATCCTAGTCATCCTTGCTAACTATTATATTGTTGACCATTGAAATTTTAGATGGAATTGTGTTTTTACCATATTATAATTATTATTTATTGTGTGTTTTGTGTGTTGTATGCTGCGTTTGTGTGTGATTTCTCCAGCAGTTTGAAGGCTTGGGCTGCAACGGTACATCGTCCTCCTTGATGGTGACTCAAGATTATACTGCACTGAAAGAGAATGAGATCTGTGTCACACAGGGTGAGGCCGTGCAGGTACTGGCCACTAACCAGCAGAACATGTACCTTGTGTACCGACCCGCAAATAGCCAATCACCACCTGCAGAGGGCTGGGTGCCGGGACACATCCTAGGCCCCGTCACAAAACCTCTCATAGACACTACTGCAGACGCAAGCATCAAGTAAGTGTCAATCAACACTAACCGGAGCTCTGATTGGATTGTTTAAGACTGCACCCCTCCCCCGCCCCCTTCATTTTGAGCACCCCCACCCCATTATGTTGGAACTAACCTGGATGTTTTGGAGCTTTTTGCACGGGAGGTTTTGATTTTCTTCTTGAGTTTTTTTTTTTTTTAAGTTAAAAAGTGAACATACAAAACATTTTTCAAAGACGCGTCGTTTTGTAGAATGAGGATTTGTGAAGAATCTTACATCAGTGTGGAAATGGAAATGTCTGGACTCTTATTTCAGTTCCTAACACCAAGTTTTTATTGTTTCTTTGCTTTTGTTGATATGATTATTGTTTTGTTTGTTCGTGTGTGTGTGTATGTGTGTGTGAAACTAAGAAAGAAATGAAAAGAAAGCTAGCAAGGCCTTTTGAATGATTTGGCCTGTTTCTCCTGGTGGAGGACATATACTGTTGTCTATGGCAATTTTTTTATATATATAATTTGGGTTTGTGTTTTAATTGTATTTTTGTACAGATTTTTTGTTCTACAGGATCACATTTTTGGCAGTTTATTGTAAATACTGTTGGTTTCTTTATTGTTTGTAGCACATTCCTGTAAAGAGCCTTTTTGCACTATTTAAGTGAACCTTAATTAATGAAGTCAGGTTTGTGCAATAGAACTACAGTTGCAATGTTGTAGTGTAACTAATGATTTTAATTGTATATTAAATATGTAAAATAAATTTTTGACATGCGCATGACTTAACAATTTATTCTGACAGTTTTATTTTTGTTTTATTATGTCCACCATGAAAATTGATACTAAAAAGGTGACAACAAAGGGGTTGTCACGATGATTTTGTTACCAATCAATACTAAAAAATTTTAAATGTTTGAGCGCGTTCTTAAACCGCGCTGATTTGCCTTTGTGTTCACATGCTCAACAGACATGACTGTGATTGGCCATGATGGTCATCAGTTCACTAAACTCACTGATGTTTACTGAGGGTGCTTCACACAGGTCCGCACCCCGGTTTGTTTGACGTCAGAGTACTGTAAGTTTAGCTAGTGTGAACGTGTCTTCTGAACTCGGTTGCGCACCCACGAACCGTACCCGAGTCCGCCAGAAAGAGGTGGTCTGGGGTACGGTTAATGCAAACTCTGGTCCGGTTTACTTCTGGTATGAATCTAACCAAATAATGGAAGTAAACCGCAAACAATACAACAAACTATAGTTTGTATAACGTTTATTTTTGTGTGTTTGTGTGTATGTGTTTATCACATTGGTGACAAGCGGGACTGAGCCAGGGTAAGCACAGTGATAATGTCTGCTTGCGTTATGTTCTGAACGTTTCTAATATTTTTGCGGCAGATGGACGCGAGTCGCTTTCCAAAACCAAAAGATTCAGTAACAGCAAAATGACCGCAATGTGTGGACGTCATTCCATTTAGGTGCTTTGCTTTTGTCTCTGTCACCTAGCAACAGCAGTACACACAACAGCAGCTCGATGACACAAGCGTTCCAGGGTTCAGAAGGAAAAAAGACAGTGTGAACACAAACTAACCGAAAAGGTGGCAAGCAGGGACAATCAAACTTGAGTACGGTCCAGGCAATTGAACCAAGTGTGAAAGCACACTGGAGTGTTTTGAAGCCACAATTCATCAGCAGATCGCTCGTATGTCAGCTTATAGACAAATCAGCTATGACTTTGAAATGCTCCGGTGTGCACAGCAGTGAGTTTGGTAAACTGATGACCTTCACGGCCAATCACAGTCATTTCTGTTGAGCATGTGAACACAATGGCAAATCAGCAGTGTTTAAAAACGCGCTCAAATGTTATTGGAACTTTTAAAATGTCAGTATCGACTGGTACCGAATTTCAGTATCGTGACAACCCTACAGCATAGCAAGTTATAAGAAATTCCTCATTGCTTTCACATTGTAAAAGTGTGCTGCACCTTATTTTTTATTTGTTTTAGGTTGTGTTTTTATTTCATAATGTAGTATAGAGTACATTTCATTTGTGTTGTACTAACCTCTTTTGTCCTTGACAGTAAAGGTTTGTGTGTGAAGCAGTATTTGATGAAAGATATGAAGGACTGCCATTCTCACACAAACTGTGCGTCCACCTTGGTGTAAGGATGTAGATTTCTATACATACAGCATTTCGATATTTGAACTTCATATGATTTTTTATGTTAATGAAAATAAGAGAGGTCTCATGCATTTCAGACTGCATTTATTTGCTTAAAAATATAGTTAATATGTGAAATAATATTATACAAAAATACCTATTTTCAATACACATTGTTATTAGTATTGCGATAAAGATATTTATGCTTTTTATCTTAAACTTTTTTCAGTTTGTTTTCCCCTTTCTATAAAATCATTTTGGTAATATTCAAAATATTGTAATGTGTATTTTTTTTTGTTTGGATTGGTTTGTTTTTTGGGTTTTGTTGACCTCCCTATTTCCCAGCCCAATTGATTTTCCCCTGTAGCACGTTACTATGCATTTTCCTCACTCTTAGATTTGCATTTCCGCCACTGCATGCGGGATTGACAACTTGATATTTTGACACGACAGGAAATCTCTTTCGTGGAACACACTTCGTGCTCGTAAGCGTGCAGAAAAGGACAGCACGCCCCTCAAAAGTGACTTTAAAGTTGAGAATGGACTGCGTAAGCCAAAGGAAATTCTCAGCAGCAAAGTCAAAGTGAAAGTAAGTAGGGGGGTGTGGAGGGTGTGTGTTAATTTCCACCATTGTGGAAATTCAGACTGAAAATACTAATCCCTCTTGTGTTTTTTTGTCTTAACAGCGTAATAAAGACAGTATTCTTTTCATGCTTTTGTTCCATTTTGTTTAAAGTGTCCCACGGCGCATGCCTTGTGTGTAGCCATGCATTTATACTTCTGCGTGCTGTTTATGTTGCAATAACACTTCCAAAATGCTAGCTGGCAGTAGGTTATGGTATGTTCCTCTGTATCGAGTTTCTTCGCTGGTGTTTTGCTTTTTCTGAACACTACCTTAATGTACAAGTAGCTAAAACCTGCTCATTCATTAACTGGTGGACACGCAACAACTTCAATCATGAGGTAAACACAAAACATATGCAGCTCCTTCACGGAATTTGACACCTGTAAACACTCGCTCCATTGGGCTCTCAGCACCGCCCATACTTGGCACAGCTACCAAGCTGACCAATCACAGAGCTTGTGTTACGCGTCATTGCGATGAATAGTTACATTTTTTGAGAGGTCAGCGTCTGTGTCATCCACGGCGAGGTCTATGCGACCACACGAAGGCTGCGCCAGACCATACACATATGCCTGACACAGAAGTATACAACATGCTTTAGGTTCAGTTTTATTTCCATAACCAATACATGTGCATAATGCCAAGCTGTAGCTTTTTAGTGGTGTCAGCAGCAGCATCTTGATAAGATTCAATGTGAAAAACAAAACAGTTCACTTTAAAACAAAATTGTATATGTATTGAGAATGTATATCGTATATGTACAATGTTCTGTGTCCAATTTTACAGTAGATGTTTTGTTTTTGTGATTAATGGCATTAATATCCCTGCCTTTTTGCCTTGGCATTCTTTAAGACTAATGCAATCTCGCAACAATTGGTAAGTTTTTGATTGAGTGGCTAATTCGTATACATTTGAATGATCTCATTCGTGCATTTTAGCATTATGTGCTCATCCGCTAATGAGGGGTACGAGTGGGGTTATGATATCACGGCTCCATAGTTTAAGGATGCTTTCACACCTGTGAATTGATTCATTTGTTCCGAAACAGGGATTCAAATTGTTCCATCGTTGCTCTTTGTTCATGGCGCAGTTCGCTTTCACATTGCAAAGTTTCTAAACGGACCAAAATAGCTAAAACTAGTCATGTGTGAGTAAACTCTCCTCACGTTGGTGAGGAGATGGTCAGGGAGTTTCACGGTCAGGGAGTTTCACGGTTTATTCCCGCTCAGCTGTCGAGAGGATGGTGGTTTTGGTGGTGTTTGACAGGGTGCGCGCGACGTGTCTGAAGAGTGAGGAGGGATGCGGTGGGGAGGGGTGAGAATGGTGCGCAACATATGAGGACCGAGAGGGAGACACGAGGTTACCGGGAGATTATTTCTCGTTTGTGCATTTGCGGGAGACTCCTGAAACTTCCGGGAGACTTGGGATATCTGGAATGACCTCCCGCCCTACTCATAATTCTCTCTTCATATAGCCGTATGCCTATTACATAGCTATAATACACTGTGATATAGCTGGGCTCGGATCGTATCGTTTTCTCACTACAATCGATCTGCTCCAGAGTTTCAATCAAGCCGAGACCACCTCATTCAGGCGATCTCGGAGCGGTTGATTTGGCGTGGATCCGAGCGTGATTGCTGGATTCACATATGCCAAACGAACCGCGCTAACTGGGCAAATGAGACGAAAACAAAAGTCTAGGTGTGAAAGCACCCTAAGTAACAATTCACTCCATTTACTAATGGCTTATTAGCTACCTATTATTAAGATATTTACTATTAATACCCATTATTAAGATGTTAACTGTGTATTAGCACTTTTAAAGAATGATCGTATTTCACATCCCTAATCCAACCCAAAACCTAAACCCAACTTCTAATATAAGAGGCTAATTAGTAGTTTGTTGAGCTAAAAATCTTAGTGGTTTGTTAATTTTATAAATTGTACATTTAAAATTTAACTTTGTACTTTAAAAGATTGTATGTGTCTGTACAAACAAAGTCATTTAAATATGTATGAATTAGCCACTTTTGCGACAATATTTTCCCAGTGAGATCAGGCTGGTAAATTCCACCTTTATATATTCCTGCATTGCGAGTGTTTAACTTTCTTCTCTCTCAACCCAAACCACAGGAGTCCCGCAGTTCTGATGAGTCTGAATGTGAGGATGAACTAGACCCCAAAACTAGTATGGAGGTAGAGATACTGATCCTTATGCATTACCATCCATTCATCAATCAATCAACCATTATCGACTATTGTAGACCTATAAAATAACACCATTAGCTTGTTTACATACTGTATGTGATCATATAGTATTTATTAAATTAGTGATACAAAAGCAACTAGATGTAATCTGTTACTAACATGTGATTTATTTATTTTATGTACTACATTCAAAAAATGTTGCTTGCTACTTGATCAGACTACTTATTTAAAATGAGTTGAAAACTCAATTCTTAACGTTTTTTGGGGGGGACAAACTAATTTTTTTATGTTCAATCCACTTAAATTTGTAAAAAGTATCAAGTTAACTAATTTGTGTTAGGACAACATAAAGGTATTGTGTGGAACCCAGCATTTTTTACAGTGTATACCATGAACTTTTGAAGTGTCAGTGGTTGAGGGTGGCCATTTTGTAAGTCTTGGGTCAGCACTTAAATCAGAATATGTCTCATAATTTATTTAAAAGCTTTTACTCTTAAACAAGTCTTACTTTTATGAATCATTTGTTGATGAATAATTAAAAGGTCAAGACTATTATCTTAACCCCCTAAACTGTTGGTCGCACTTTTTAATCAGAGTCTTTTTGGCATATCTAATCTTTGAACACATAGGTAAGCATGGTCTCGTTTTAAAGAAGGCACTTGTTAGACTGTTGCTGAAGTTAAAAAAGTTAACTCTTTACTCTTACTCTAAACCTACTTCAAAACTAAAGCCAAAACAGTAAGCATTTAAATTGAAATATGAATCAATATTACAAAAATGTGACCTCCAGTTGAAATCAGTCTTCATTGGTGACTATTCAAGGTTAATTTCTATTTCTAAGTAAGGTTTGAGTGATATCGCAGCCATTTTTTAAATACTTTTCAAAACATTTAAGTACACATCATATGCAAACCTCTCCTGTTTTTCCCAGTATTCTCCTGTACTTTACCACTCTCTATCCTGCTATCATCCTGTTTAAGTATTTTCCAGTATTTTTCAAATGTGACAAATACACATATTATATATAAACATGTCCTTCTTGTTTCCCGGTATGCCATTTTTTTTTACATCCCAATGTTGACAGGTATGAGTTTGATGGAGAATTTGCTAGGAATCTATTGCATTTTAGTGATATTTAAAATGTTAAATATAACAATATATGTCCAAATATAGAATGAATGTTATCAAACTCTTTCAGTGAATTGGTTTCTAGATATTCTTCATGATTTTACATGTGGATTGCTGGGAATTACATCCTAAATGTTCCCGCTTTTTGGCTGGGTCGGTTAGCATTTCTGTGTAGAGTTTGAATGTTCTCCACGTGTTCGCGTGGGTTTCCTCTTGGTGTTCCAGTTTCCCCCGCCGTCTGAAGACATGCACTATAGGTGAATTGAATAAACTAAATTGGCCGTACTGTATGAGTGTGTGCGAATGATGTATGGATGTTTCCCAGTTCTGGGTTGCAGCTGGCAAGGCATCCGCTGTATAAAATGTGCTGGATATGCCCTGATGAATAAGGGGATTAGGTCGAAGGAAAATGAATTAATGTTTTCGCTTTGTCTTGTTCATCAAAAAAACTCACCAAGTAATATATATATATATATATATATTACTTGGTGAGTTTTTTTGATGAACAAGACAAAGCAAAAACATTCATTCATTCATTCAGTTATATATATATACACACACACACACACACACACACACACACACACACACACACACACACTTTAAAAGGTTTTAAACAATATAGCTTATTTTAAATAATGTAAGGAGAAATGTCCCACAGAAGGGATGGTGACCGGTAAGAGGTATTAAGAACATTTTTAACCGTCTTATACATACAGGACCAAGTGGCATGCCACTCTTTCTGCCATTCCAACAGATTGTATTCTACAGTGTAAAAATGGTATGACAAATAGTCATGACAACAAATGCTTTGTACTTTCATTTTAACCAGTTAATCGGGTTTTAACTATTTATTTTGTTATACAATTTGTAGCTTAACAATTTAAGTCCGTTTGACATGTAACTTGAGATGACTGGAAAAATTCATTTGATTCAGAAAAAAATTATGAGATTGATTGATTTAAAAATTAGTCTGTATATGTTGCCAGTCAAATAAAAGTTGTGTTTGATATAATTAAAACTTTTTATTATACTACTAGAAATATATTTAAATCCAATTTAATGTATGTTGTTTTGATAACATAATGCATAATTATGTACTATGTGTTCATATTTCTTCGATACCTTATTATTGCAGACAACAGTGCAAGTACAATTCATTTCAAATTGATTCAGTAAATAATTACATGCAATGATTGCGCCCTCTGGTGGCCAAATGCTAAAATAACACTAAAATGCTTGACTTTTTCTTTCTTTTTTAGAAAAATATAGGCTTTTTTTTTGAGAAGTGTCTGTCTGCGAACTGCAAGTCTGGGGGTGTAACATGAAGGGGGCGTAAACTGTAATACGTTAGAGAGATAACCTGAAGTTATGGAGACCCATATGTCAAAACTCAGTTATCGGCAAGATGGTGTTGTGCATCATCTACACCTATCACAACCCTAAACCCTACCATCATAGTTATTGATGTCTACACCTACCACAACCCTTAATCTAACCTTCACAGTTATTAACGTCTACACCGTCCCCATCCCTAAACCCAACCATCACAGTTTTTAACAATCAACTGTGAGTTGCAGAGGCTTTCATACTATGCACTCGCCATTGTACTGTTATTTGCAACCACAGCGGGCACTGCCTGGTAGGCTAACTTTCATGAAAAATGGGTAAAGAAGTTAAGAAGTCAGTGAGTTGCATGTTGGAGTTGCTAAATCAATGAATATAAAATATATCAAATGAATTGGTTGTGGATAAATTTGGAGAAATCTCATGAAAACATTTGGTGAAAATGTACTCTGGTAAGTATTTCTGCCATCCTGCCAACAACATCTCATGGTGTCATCTCACATGGTATGGGACCTTGATAACTGCAAGTTACGTCCTTTCATGTTACGCACCCATCTTGCTTTCCGCAGACAGATACACTTGCATTTTTTATCTCTCTTGTGGTCTGAAGTGCTGAAAGTTATCAACTTGTAACAATTGTTTTGTGTCTGTTTTGCAGTTACTGAACCCTAATTTCATCCAAGAGGGTGAGTTTATTCATGTACAGATGCTCCATTTTTCTGTATTTCCCACTCGTAGGCAAGAAGCAATGCTTGTTTGATTTTAAACTTTAAAATGCAGATAAACTTTTAGCAGGTTTATGATTTGTCAACTAATGTATCATATCTACATCTCTGATTAGTATGCACAAGCAACACTTTACAATATGTTGTCGTATTGTAATCCAACACAATCTCACGGCAATTCGTAACTTTTGATTTAGTGGCTGATTCGTATGAATTCGTTCAAACTAATTTGTACAATTTAGTACGACTTGCTCATCGACCAATGACGGCTGGGTTTAGGGGTGGGGTTAGGTGCCACGCCTCTTTTTTTTTTTTAAATCGTACAAACTTGTACGAAATAGCCACTAAACTGGCAAAACGTAAAATACTTACGTTCTCTTGTGAGATCCACCTGTTGAAACGATTTAATGCTTTTTGATGTGATGAGCTTAAATACTGCTCGAATCAATGCATCAACTGGATTTTTTTTCTTATGGTAAATATTAATATGATCACATTTTATGAGCACTATTATTATTGGTATCAAATTAGTCATTTTAAGTTACATTACATTGTTAGGAGACTGTAAGGTCAGGGTTAGGGTTAGGGTAAGTTGACATGTTCTTGCAAACTTTCTCATAGTCAGTTGAATGTCTGTTGAAGCCAGCAGATTTTACTAATACTTTAATGATAACTAGATAGCATGTACTTGGAATGTAACTTATAGGGCCAGACAGAATCTGCAGACATTTTGTCCTATTTCTGTGCAGAACTTTTTAACAGTTGTAACAAATCTGAGGATTTATGCAGAATTATTTTTGGGAGTATTGTAACTTAAAACTTACAACAGGAAACAAAAAAATAAACTTTGTATTTTCTAGGGTTTACAATGAAAATCCAATTAGATCCACTTGTTTGAAAATGAATATATAAACAGAATAAATATGTATTTACCAATGCTATCTCATGGCAAGTCCAGCCTGATCTCACGAGAAAACGCAAGTATTTTACGCTTTGGCAGTTTAGTGGCTAATACGTACGAATTTGTACGAGTTCAGTCGTAAGAAATTGTATTATTTTAAAAAGGAAGTGTGGCACCTAATCCCACCCCTAAACCCAACCGTCATTGGGGGAAGAGCAAATCGTAATAAAATGTATGAATTAGATCATACAAATTCATACGAATTAGCCACTAAATGAAAAAGTTACGAATTGCCGTGAGATTGTGTTGGCCAGTCAGAACTTTTTGATGTATTGGTTAATTCCTATGATCTCATTTGTTTAATTTAGTATGATTTGCTCATCCCCCAGTCACGGTTGGGCTTAGAGATGGAGTTTGGTGCCATGCCTTTTAAAAATATTACGACATAAAATAGTCACATTTTCTTGTGAGATCAGCTTGATATTTAAATACATTTACTTGATGGGTTAAAAAAATCAGCACTGGATCTCTGCATGCACAGGTTCCGTGTGGGCCTACTCGTAGTCAACAACATGTACAATAGGTACCATCAAAACAAAGTGATACATTATTATTTTTTAGTATTATTAGTAGTAGTAGTAGTGGTAGGAAGAACTGAGACAAAATTAGAGCAGTCGACCTTTAAACATATTACATTTTACAAATTCACATTCTAATGTGCTCAGATGTGCTCAGCCTGATCTCACAAGGAAGCATAAGTATTTTACGTTTTGTCAGTTTAGTGGCTAATTCGTACGAGTTCAGTCGTTTAAAAATGTACGATCTTTAAAAGAAGGCGTGGCACCCAACTCCAACCATCATTGGGTGATGAGCAAAGCGTACTGAAATCTACGAATTGTATGAATAAATTAAATTGTATTAGATTGTACAAAATAATGCGAACTAGCTACTAAATCAAAAAGTTACGAATTGCCGTGAGATTACATTGGGTATTCAGTTTTGTCCCATCGTTGATAAAAAAAGGGGATAATTTAAATTTAATATTGTTGTTGCCATTGATTGCAAATTTGTTAAATGTTAATCTGTATGCCGTCTTGTTATTATGGTACCATGTTTAAGAGTATAACTATTCTATTAAGTGCTCATTCGGTCGTACATGCAGGTTTGTATTTTAATTGATTCTGTCATCTAATTTGAATAATTTCTTGCATCTGTGATACAGTCGCTCCAGAGTTTCTGACGCCTCTAACAGACGTGACGTGTGCTCTGGGAGAGACGGTGGTTCTGTGCTGTAAAGTGTGTGCTCGACCCAAACCCACAATCACCTTGAAAGGACCTGATCAAAGTCTGCTGGCCAACAATAACCGCTTCACTATTAATATCAGGTAATATCAGATTCAGATTAATATCAGATTCTTCATATCTAACCTCTAAAGAATTTTTATTTACATATATTATATTTTCTATAGCTATAACTTATTTTTTTATATCTAAAATTGTTAGATGCTGATTTCAAGAAAATATTTAACATTTGAAGAAAGGGTTCACCAAAAAATTAATTTACTCAACCTTTTTTTCTTCAGTAGAAGATTATAGAAGATTTTTAGCTGATTCAGTGCTCCTTGGCGATTCTTATGAATTTTACGTAAGTTATTAGGAATACCACAATACTCATGGTAGAATACGCATAGCCTTTTATTACTTGCTGGACTAGCTCTGTGCGTGTTTGAACTCATGTACATGCACATGGTACCAGAAGTGCACACTGTACGTTGATGTATGCTTTTGATATTTAATCACAGAACATTAAGACGCAAGGAGAACTTACACTCGATTTGAGAAGTGCCTCGTCTGAACATGATAAGGAAAGTTAGAATGCACAAATTATCAAGAAATTATCTTTCTTCTAGACGTTTTTTCAATAAACAATAAAACCCATTTATGTTCATTGTCAATGTGGCCTGGCTTGACGAATGTACAGTAAAATTATGGCAGATTCTGTGTGTCCTGTCTTAACTTGAATTGTTTACTTGGGTATTGTCCATTGGTCAATTGAACTTGCCTAAAAAAGCAAGCCCAATAATATCAAAGTAATTCTGTGGGAAAACTACAGACTTTGCAACACCGTGTGCTGTGTGTGTATCTTTGTGTGGATGTATTTTTCCACAATTAAAATTATTAAACCTAATTATTAAAATTTCCATAATTATATAATTATAATAGTTTTTACAGTGATCAAAGTGCCATTTCTGAAATTAATCTCCTGGTATCTGTGTTTTCTTTGTTTCATTTTAGAGAAACCGGTGATATAGTGTTGAAAATCTGCAATCTAATGCCGCAGGACACTGGCATCTACACGTGTGTTGCTGTGAATGACCATGGTACAGCCTCCTCATCTGCATCCATTAAAGTACAAGGTAATTTTTTTTTTAAATAAGAAAACCATGTGGCTTGCGATCCATCTTTCCACATTTAAATGAGATTACAATCAATCTTTGATTGTTACAATGACAATCTTTGGTGTAGGTATCCCAGCAGCCCCTGCTCGACCGGTGGCACAGGAGGCAAGCAGCACTGCAGTGATTGTCCACTGGCTTCCTCCAGCCAGCTCAGCAAATTCTGCCATCTCCAGCTACACTGTGGAATATAGGCAGGAAGGTAAACTATTACATGAGCATAAAATCTGATGCTTTTTAAGAATGCAGTTTTTCACCTGGAAGCATGTAATTCACCATGTGCAGGGCCGGAGCAAGCTGAACTGCCGATCTAGGCAAAGGACAGTCACGCCGCCCTCAAACCTAAAGTAAAACTGGGGGTGGGTGGGGGGTGGGGGGGGGGGGGGTTGGGCTTATTATTATTATTGGGGGTCTATTATATAACTGAGGCGCGGTGGCGAGGGTAGTTTAGGGGGCTTATTATTATTATTGGGGGTCTATTATATAACTGAGGCGCGGTGGCGATGGTAGTTTAGGGGGTTTATTATTATTATTGGGGGTCTATTATATAACTGAGGCGCGGTGGCGAGGGTAGTTTAGGGGACGCCACCATCTCTATTCTGCCACGCTGAACGCGGATATAACTGAGGCGTGGGTGGCGAGGATAGTTTCGGGGACGCTGCTCTCTATATTCTGCCACCCTAGACGCGGATATAATTGTGGGCGCGGGTGGCGAGGATAGTTTCGGGGACGCCGCCCTATCTATTCTGCCATCCTAGGCGGCCGCCTAGGTCGCCTCTATGGAAGCGCCGGCCCTGACCATGTGTGGTTACAAGCGCTTTTTTTCTGACACAATGTTGTGCTTCACACAATATCCACCAGGTGGCACAAGAAGCAACTTTCAGTAGTTCATCTAAAGCAGGGATGCTCGACCCTGTTCCTGAAGACCTACATTTATAATATTTTAGTTTTATTTATTTCATCTTTGATCAACTAAATGCATGATTAAATCACACTGAACTGAGCTAAACTGAACTGAACTGAACTTAAACACTAAAACCTGAACTACACTGTTCCAGTTACTATGACCATTTATGTGAAGCTGCTTTGACACAATCTACATTGTAAAAGCGCTATACAAATAAAGCTGAATTGAATTTAATTGAATCCTTGGTTAATGGAAAAATACTGTAAAGAAAGAGACGGAAAACTGAGCTCAAATTTTAGAATACTAGTGTAAGATATAATGTAAAGCCTGTTTTATTAAAAGGGTTGGAGATGTATTGAAAATGGTTCTAAAAAGAATGACGATAAACCCAAAATTTGTTATTTTGTGCTTTTGAACATCCAGCGTTTGGTAAACGTATGTGTCTCTCTATTTGTGTGCAGATTCTCTGGTATGGCAGCAGTTGGTGGTCTCCACGGCAGATGTGTTTGTGAAGATTGACAATCTGATTCCTGGTGGGCACTACCAGTTCAGAGTCAGTGCCAGTAATCCCTGGGGCACCAGCCCGCCTAGTGAACCCTCAAACATGGTGACATTATCCAGCACAGGTAAATACAATTGAATAAAATATGAATACTTTCTGTCTGCAGGTGTTGTTGTCATTTACAGCAGCATCCTAACTGAAATGGATCCTCTTGGAAGGCTTTTGAAAGAATGTTTTAGGGTTCCTGCTCAAAGCCAACATCAACTCCCTGACTTTTTATTTCTCTGAATAAAAGGCTGAATTTTCATCACACAGATTTCCTGTAAATCCTGGCCACAGTAAAAAATATCCAAAAGTTCTCTTTTGTATTTAGTTTTCCCCCCCCTATTTATTTATTTATGAAAAAAGACTATGGCTATGGAAATCGCTTACTACTAAGTAAGTACTGCATTCGAATTTTAATTTACTACTCAATCATTAAAAAAAGTACGTTCTATATAGCATGAATGTGAGTAGTATGAATGGAACTCGGACATACTACATCCACCATTTTGTCATGATCAGGTGACCTACCTGCATCAGTTGTTTCGCTTCACTCCTATTCATGAATTCTCTCACGGTATACCAAGGGATATCATAGCATGAATCGGATGTGCACTTCAGAATCTCGGATGTAGTAGATCATCTGGGTACTTTTCGCATGTTGTTTTTCGAATTCTATAAATTCGGACATACTACTCGGCTCACTGTTTTTAGCGTACTATATAGTATGGATGCATTTTCAGACGCAGCTTATGTGTACACTGGCAAACTTTGGGAGGAAACAAAAGATGCACGATCAGTTGAAAAACAGGGGTCAAACACACTAACACATGAGCAAGGAAATCAAAATATACCACATATAAGTGACAGTCCTTTTGTAATCTGGGATTAACTACTTTGCAAAAGATACACTACATTCTAGTATAACTAAAGTATTCACAAAAGCATAATAATGAAAGTTTTTTTGTCAGAAGCATTACTGATGCTATGAAATACTGTTTTATTTAGCAGTGCTACATTTGAGAACCAAGCTTTACTGTTTATTATTTTCCATTTTCTTATACTCTGTTACGAATTAAATTAAAAAAAATCCTTAATCAAAAAGAGATGTAACCAAAAACGTAACAAAATAACAGGGATTAAAAATATAATCCCTGGTGCCCCCGCGCTCTCTCTCCCCAAAATATATACCAAAAACACAACCACTAAGAATTAACAAGAAAATATGACTTATTTACAGAAATAAGGAGCAAAAATAACATCAGGAGGGGTCAGCCAAAATAAATGACAATAAACCAAGCTAACTAAATTAGATTAAACTTCCCTAGAAAACAAATAAAATAAAATACAGAAAACTTACCTCCCTACTAACAAACACAGGAGAAAACGAAAATAACAAATAAGGCACCAAACCTCCCTACATGCTCCAAGCCCGACAGGGAGACAGTAAACCGGGTTTCAATCGCCGGTTAAAAATTAACACATCGGCATCTCAATATACAAGCAAACACTCATGGGATCACGTTCTCCACTGAGTACAAGCGGGGAAATCGAGAGAGAGCGGGGAGCCATCGAACCCATGTTCTCTGCAGGTTTTTATAGCCGCCGCCAATCATGGTCCGTCCCAACGTAATCCGCTGCACCTGCGAATACTTAGATTGAGAAAGAGAGAGAGAGCGAGAGAAAGAGCGCGAGAGAGAAACCACACACAAGCCTACACTACACTACTCGTAACAACTCTAATTATTTTTTTTCATGCAGCATCAACATATGATGGCGCTGGAATCCAGTGGAAAGACAACTTTGAATCTGCTTTTACAGAATTATGTGAAATTGGGCGGTAAAGTCCTTATTTCAAACCTTCTTCAAAATGGATGCAGTAAACCCCCAGCCTGTCTGTAAGAAACTAAGCCTTTTTAATGTTCTGTGTTTAAGGGGTCGTTTCTCTGTGGTGAGGAAGTGTCTCAGTAAAGCCACTAAGCAGGAGGTTGCTGTGAAGTTTGTGAATAAGAAGATGCACAAGAAAGAACAGGTGGCCCATGAAGCTGATATTCTACGCCATGTCCAGCACCCCCAACTGGTGTCACTGATTGATACATACGAGTCGCCTACAGCCTACATGCTGATTCTTGAACTGTAAGTAAATCCATTTGGAATGCAAATATGTATGGTTGGCACTGTTGCCTCACAGCAAGAAGGCTGTTCTGGTTTAACAAAGACATGCACTATAGGTCAGTTGGATGAACTAAATTGGCCTTGGTGTATGAGTGTGCCTGTGAATGTGAGAGTGTAAGGGTGTTTCCCAGTACTGGGTTGCGACTGGAAGGACATCCGCTGAATAAAGCATAGGTGGAATAGTTGGTGGTTCATTCTGCTGTAGAAATTCCTGATAAATAAGGGACTAAGTGAACGGAAAAAAATGAATGAATGAATACCCTGCTGAAAATATAGCTTAAACCAGCCTAGGCTGGTTAGCTGGTTTTACCTGGTTGACCAGGCTGGTTTTAGAGGGGTTTTGGCCATTTCCAGCCTGGTCCTAGCTGGTCAGGCAGGAAAATAACCAGCTAAAGCCAGCTTGACCAGCCTGGTTTAAGCTGGACATAGCTGGTGTTGGCTGGGCTCCCAGCCTGGCTAGGCTGGTCAAGCTGGTTTTAGCTGGTCATCTCCCAGCCTGACCGACCAGACTGGAAATTGCTGGAAACCAGCCTGGAAATGGCCAAAACCCTTCTAAAACCAGCCTGGTCGACCAGCTAAAACCAGCTAACCAGCCTAGGCTGGTTTAAGCAGTTTTTTTTAAGTAGGGTAAGTCTAAATCTTTTTGTGTGCGCACACAAACAAATGCAATGCCATGATAATTTTTGCATGTTTTCAGTGTTGAGGATGGACGTCTTCTTGACTATCTGGTAGCTCATGATGAGCTGATGGAGGAGAAAGTGGCATTCTTTATTAAAGATACACTGGAAGCTCTGCAGCACTTGCACACCTGCAGAGTGGCTCATCTAGACCTCAAGGTAAAACATAATGACACCACATGCATCCACAAGTAGCTACTAGCTGACACTTTTCCCCAACGCTATTAGTATATAAGTGATAGCATTACCATCCACAAGCAATAAAGTGGAGGAACTACGACGTCATCTTGTAGGCTAATCAGCTGCTAGCATAAAACTGGTTCCCTCAATAAAATCCCTGTAGGATTTTCCCATAGACTTTTCGAAGATTGCAAATAATAAGCTCTGTGTTCAAACCGTTTTGTCTGCCGGATAATCCTCACACGAAAATTCAACTTTGAGCACTTTTGGATCTTAAATGCAAACGGAAGAACTGAAAAGCTAATATTAGGCTATAAACGGACTATAGTGCCTTCAGGGCGCTCGCCTGTAACATCATCACCACCACCCTGCTACAGAAAGCTTTCTATGCTTATTTTTAGAAATAATGTCCATGACAAAGAGTTAATCTCTCTGTTTATAATATTATAATCCATGCTATAAATTATAAACAAATAAATATGGAAAAACACGTAGACCTACATGCCTTTTGGATCGTTTTTACGTGGGAAATACATGTTTTGCTTTACGGTTGTTGTAAAAGTTTTAAAACCGTATGTAAAAATGTGCCTGCATAGTAATATCATAAAACATTTAGAAAAGTGTACACTTACCTTCGCTTAACAGATGGTAACTGCCTGCTTACCTTAACGAATGACAGAAATGAGGCGTGAGGAACAAGTCTATCAAATGCTGGCAAGCTCCATGATGGATCGAGAACAACATTCAATATTCTTCTTTTGTCACTAAGTACAGCATAAAGCAACCTATACAGTCACATCTGCTATACATTTTATGGAGGAGTGTAAATACTGCAATTATGACCGTTAAATGTGTTCAGATGAAGAAAAAAACAACGAAAAATCCATTGATCGCAATAAAATAACAGTTAATATGTATGTATTTTTACACAATTATTCACACGTTTGCATTACTGAGAGCAGGAAAGAGACAGGCTGCACTGATAACGTTTAATTAAGATAAATGATCAACAAATTATTTTTCTTGACAGTATTTACAAGTGAGGACATTATCTACACACAGTATGATTTCCCCATTAGAAAAACACTACAGACTTTAAAATACTATTCATAAAAACAAACAAATCGAAATGCCCAACACAAGCAAGCTGCGCTCCAGATCAGCTCAATGACGTATAATTTCTCCAACAGCACCTGTAGTCCCATTTAGCAACTTGATAGTAACTGTCTTTTAAAGAAGCCTAACTAATTTAACAAATCAAGAGTGTGATGTAACTGATGTGTTTTATGTCATAGAATAAAACACAAACATAACACAGAGTTTGTGTTAGCCACGAACCTTATTTAAGCGTTTTAACTAAAATCCCATTGAAAAATTCCACTGACTTTGTGACAAGGGAACCAAAACAAAAATGCTAACTCACTTCCGGGTTTTTTGCATACAAATTGACATTATAGTTCCTCTACTCTATACTCTATTAATTGTGTAGTTGTAACTAAAAGCCTAGCAACTGTATTACATTGTTATAAATGACACCTGTCATAGCAACTGTATAGTACACATAGTACACTCTTCTTTTGTCATTTTGATTTTATTACACATCAATTCAATTCATCTTTATTTCTGTAGCACATTTACAGTGTAGATTGTCTCAAAGCAGCTTCACATAGAAGATTATAGTAAATTGAAACCGTGTCAGTTCAGTTTTCAGTGTTGAAGTTTAGTTCAGTTCAGTGTGGTGTAATAATCTCTGCTGAAAGTTCAAACAGTAAACAGCAAATCCAGCGATGCGCAGCTCCACAAGTCCCAAACCATGCAAGCCATTTGGCTAAAGTGAAGTATTTAAAAACCTTGAGAGAAACCAGGCTCAGAAGGGCACGACCGTTTCTCCTATGGCCAAATGTCTTGTGCAGAACGGCAGTCTAGGCACCGGAGCCTGGAGAACGATGAACGTCCATCATGGAGAAGCTGCAGGTGGGAGTGGTCACCGGCTGGCGTACAGGCTTGCCCTTCAAGATCAATGCACAGACTCGTCTGTCACTGGGGTCTTACAGGGATCAGTCTCATGCTCTCCACTCCTCCATGACTGCAACAGTAGCTGCTCAGGATACAGCCTGGTCCAGGATTATAGAAACCTCATGAATAATAAGAAAGACTAACATAAGCACAGATGCCGTTCAAATTGTTATGTCTTTTGGGAATTGTTTCCAGCTCTGGTTGCCTAAATATTGCAGACTAACAATCCATTAGAGGATTTGGATTTCAACAGCATTTGTGTTTTATGTGTATGCTAATGCAAAGAGATGTGTCTTTAATCTAGTTTTACATCACAAATTTTTCAGATTTTTTTTAATGTTAGTATTTGGGTTTTTACCAAAGCTTAATTCAATTCCATGTCAACAGCTCCAATAGATAGTGGTGGGCAAAGCGAGGCTTCGTGAAACACTGAAACAGTCAAAGCAAATGTGTCGAAGCTTCGAAACGTTTTGAAACCCCACTCTACAGTGACACCTAGTGGTCATTTTTTATATATTGCACTGAAATAGCTTGAGCAAAGAACAGTTGAGCAAATTGAGGCTTTAAACCCCACTTTGTATACTTGGACGTTCAAGTACTTTAATGGAGTGGTTAAGGTGTCTGACTACCATGCGGGCATAGCGGGTTCGAATCCCGGCTGATACTGTTGTTTTGAAATGCTTTAATACCAGTTGATAATGCTTTGCTCTTGTATCGTTTTGTTTCAACATTGGTCTGATATACGAATAAACAATTTGTGAATAAATATGTCTTGTTTTGGTCTCAAAACAGGGTTGTTGCTAGATCAGAAACTGTGGCCTGAAGTTATCAAGAATTATTTATATTATACATTAAATTTCTCATTTCTTGTATTTTATTAATGTTTACCCAAACCCTAAACCCAACTATCACAGTACTGTAAAATTATTAATTATAGTTTTACAGTGTTACTGCAGATGGTGTAACTGCAGCTGTATCCTATTTAGGCTACACAAAACAAAAACATGATTAAAATACATCAAACCATAATTTCAGAGTACTTGTACAAGTCGGGATTCGAACCCAAAACGTCATTCGAAGCACAGTAACAGGCAGCGTGCACATGCACAGTCCTCTAGGACATATGAAACTGTATTTTGTTTTTACCCTGGCAGTCAAATGGAGATTTGCCAGGTCTCGAAACGCTTCTAAGCTGATCCATGCTTTGAACCGCTTTAGTCACGTGACCAGGTGTTTCAAAACACTTTAGTCACGTGACTTGGGTGCTTCGGTGCAGTCTTTCGAAACGCTTGCGCTTCAGGATCTCGACACTGTGGCTGTTTCTCAATTCCAAGAACGCAGAGAACGGACTTGTGTTCTTATGGAGACCGGTCTTGCCAGGTGTCCTCGGAAGAATGAACTCAGGAGACCGCGTGGGCAGAGAACGCGTCCTTTGAGAATTGAGATGCTGCGTTCTTCCTGATGGTCACATGACCTTCACATGTTTTAAATGGTAAATTATTTAAACATTACAGCCTTCATACAACGATTTATTGTTTTTCCCCTTTTCAAAATATATACTTTGCATAAAAACATTATAAATATATGTTGCACAATATAAATAAAACAGATTTTAATACAAATTTCAGCAAACAAAGACCCTTAATGTGTTTATTCCTTTATTAAGATGTCCATGGTAATGTTTACTTTCACCGTTTCATTTAGGGAAACTCCTGAGGTAAATATCTATGAACTTTAATAAGTAATCTAGATAAAATGCTGCGCTTCCCACCTCCAGTCGCAATGACTTCTGGGACTTCCAGAGCGAGTTCGGTGCTCAAGTCTGCATCCGTGCGTCCTCGATTTCAAGATCTCATCCGGGAAGTTTTACGCGTCCTCCGTACTTGCGGTCTTGAGTATTGGAACTGAACTTAGGCAGCTGATGATGACGTTTCACGAGGACGCAAGACCGCTGAAGAACGCATATTGAGAAACAGCATGTGTCAAAACGTCAGTTTCACGTCCGCCATCCCTACCGTTAGATATATTACCCCAGGAAAATACATGGCATGTTTATTACTTATTCCTCCCACTGCAAGTGGCAGTTAAATGAAAATATAGAAATGTACTCAATAAGCTAATATGATTATCTCTTTTTCAGCCTGAAAACTTGTTGGTGGACCTCCACGTTCCGGTACCCTGCGTGAAGCTCTCAGATCTAGGTGATGCTGTACAGGTTTCAAGTCACCGCTACGTACATCTCCTCCTGGGTAACCCCGAGTTCGCTGCTCCAGAGCTCATCCAGGGCACTCCAGTGTCCCTCTCTACAGATGTGTGGAGTGTAGGGGTGCTGGCCTACGTCATGCTTAGTGGAGTCTCCCCATTCCTGGATGAGAGTCTGGAGGAGACCTGCGTCAACATCTGCAGGCTGGACTTCTGCTTTCCTCAAGAGTACTTCTCCGATATAAGCCAGGCAGCCAAAGACTTCATTGTGTCCACGCTTAACCAGGATCCCAGGAAGAGGCCAAGCTCGGCCTCGTGTCTTCAGCACCCATGGGTCAGTGCTCATAGTGGAGATTACTCCAAAACACCTCTGGATACTGTCAGACTCGCTGCATTTATAGACAGACGCAAACAGCTACATGATGTCAGGCCTGTCACAAACATTAAAGGAATGGTCAGCAGCAGTATGGGACACACCTTATGAGAAAAATTCATGGACTCTAGCATGTTCTATGCTGTATTTCAACGTTATATGTAATTTACATTATATCATATCATTTGGAATGTGCACTTACTGTTTACGGTGTTCCTGTACATGTGAATTTACTGGCCGGCACCATAATGATTTGTTGGACTTTGAGTTCAACACCATTGGTGAAATCATTAGCAATTAATAGACTTCAGAAAGTACATGTGCCCGGGAACAGTGGAAACTGAAGAGCTAGGAGAAATAACAATGAATGTCATATTAAAGCTTAGGCATGTGTTTTGAAATGTTAGCAGCCCTAAATAGACTAGCAGTTGGTTGTGTTTAGGACTCGCGAGAAAAGTTCAACCAAAAATAGCAATTTGTCATTACTTTCTTGTCACTCCAAACCCACAAGATGTTCGAAAATAAATAGAGGTGTTTTATACAGTGAAAGAAAAGAAAGAACGAAATGTATTTGCGTTTACATTTATTTTAATATAGCACATAAGGTCTGATTTCCTGACTTTGGTTGTCTTGTTTCTCAAATGTATTGCAGTTTGATATATAGGTTCAAATGTAATTAGATTTTTCGATAATAAAGGCTCCTACACACCGGGACGCTTTTCGTTTGCGTTTAACGTTAGCGTTTTATAAGACGTTTTTCAGTATTCAAACCCAAGTGCTTTTCACTGGCGTCAAGCTGAAGAGTGTGCAAAATCACTCTTTTGAAGTTAGATGGTGCTGCACAACTTTAAAGGGTCATGAAACACCAAAACACATTTTTTGAGCTGTTGACAGTCGTATATGTGTCCCACACTGCTAAAAACACTATATGGACACCTAAATTTCACTAAAAAGTGTAAATTGGTTGTTTTTGCGTTATTTCAAGCAAATTCGAACTTCCGGTTTGAAACAAATTTTTGAAGCTGCGTCACGGTCATGACATAATAGCGTGTATTCCAGCGTGCAGACTGGACGTCTGTGCCAAAGTGTGTCTTATTACGTCTTACAGCCTGCTGCATTAATGCATGAGTAAGGCTTGGTTCAAACCAATCAGTGCGCTCTATTGTGCAACTTCATTAATATTCATTACTGTCACAGTGTTCAGACGGCAGAGACGCCACGTTGTGTTGGCAAAACAAGCGTGAAGTGTTGCTTTTATAGTTTGCTGTAGTTAAGTTTTGTTTTCATTTTCTCTCTGTGAGAGCGCAGACTCACGTGTGGATTAACAGTGTACGCGACGCTCGACAACAATAACTTACGTGTCTAAGGAGAAACATTGTTTACCTGAGAGCTGTTCTCATTTGCAAACGCTGAGATCCGGATTCGCTTGTAGTCTTCTCTTAATAAAGAGAATTGCGGCTCTAGTTGCTGGTGATTGTCCTGTCTCTACAGATTTGGTAAGTGAGCGACCAGTGCTCTTTGTTTATTCAGTTTGTATTTTATTCGTATCGAACAAACTATTGCACCGAGTGTAAACAAGTTAGCTTTACAACTAAACTATAACCTCATGTAGGATTTTGTGACCGGAATAACACACGCAGCTTTCTGACACTACCTGCCAAGTGCATCTAAGTTTCCGGGAAATGCTGAGTTTTTTTTCTCTCATTCGGCGTGCGGTATCAAACATTGCATGAAAAATACACGCTTAGAGCAGCTCCTCGAATCAAATATCTCGTTTGTCGGGAGGGACATGAATGAATTCCCTGAATGAAAGAGCCAAACTGCAGTTAAAGTCCACCATTTAATAATTTGGCAAATAATTCGACTACAGATGTCCATGTAAACACAGTCACTTTGTCCCCTGTTGGGTGTGTGTTTTGACTCTGAAATTCAGCGCGCCCAAATAGACACTCCCACACCAAGCCTCTTTTCTTCCTCTGACACTCCCCCCTAAACAGAGCTGGACACGCCCACTTTTCTGACTTTTTCCCAAAGTAGAGGTGTGAAAACACTCTGCTGAAACAAGGGGGTTTCATGGCCCTTTAAGCTTCTGACACCCGCTTGTAACACAGAAGAAGAGGAGTAGAGGAAGTTCACACGATTGTTGATAAAGTTACTGGTGACTTGAACAAGCATGGATTATTCAAGCAGCAGCTCTAGCGATAAAGAAATGATTAGTGTTCACAAGAGCAATAAGCAGCTCCACGTTCATATCGCCTCTGGGCGTTGTCTTCAATGTGCGCTCGCATTGACAGTTTTGCGCTTGAGCGCCTTCAAGTGCTGTTTACTGTAACTTCAGCAGCTCCGTGCATGTGAGCAAAAGTGCCGATCTGATTGGTGGAGAAGGTTTTGACACGGCGCGTCAAAACCAAAAAAATGGCCATGAGCCGTTTTTTTTTTTTTTTTTTAAATGACGCTTTTGCGCCTCGCGGTTTGCGGGTTGTGTGCATGATCACATTAACACCTGTTATTTAGTCGCGAGGCGTTAAACGACAGAAAACGTGAGCAAAAAAACGTCTCGGTGTGCACGGGCCTTAAGGGTGCTTTCACATCTGTAGTTCGCTTCATTTGGTCTGGACCAAAGGCAATAAATGATACATTGAAGTATTTTCTGCCCTCTCTGCTGCTGACTTTGGTCCAAACCACATGAAAAGAACCAAAATGCAGTCATCTGACAAAATCCACATCTTTCATTGGCCAGATGGTGCTGAACATAGTTCCTAAACTGCTTTTTGATAGGTCAGAATTAACATGCGGGAAAATGCCAGTGAACTCCCGCAAGTAAAAACAAAGGCAGACACAAAATGTCGCTTTTTACTAAGGAGCTACGACTGCGCTGGGTGATTGTATCCCTGCTCATAGTATACTTTATAGTTTGTATAAATCACTTTAGACAAATTATACATTTCAAGAATGTATAATAAGAATTAACTTAGCAACATGGTCATCTTAAGGAAATATTACCAACGATCCATCAGGTAAGGTTTTTCCCTCTCTGTCTCTTTCTCTCTGTTGGTAAAGCGCTGTCAACAAATATTTTTCCTCCATATCCCATAATGCACAGCACATCGGCCTACGGCAGCTGGATTAGTCCAAAAGGTGCGGTAATTTTTGCGGTTGGACCTGTTTTAGTACAGATCATATTCTCACCACAAAGGAACCGCTCTGGGGTTCGTTTGAAAGCGTACCGAGACCACCTCTTCAAGCCGGTCTCTGTACGCTTATTTGGTCCACTTTTGGTGCCCATTCGAGTACAATTGCTGCATTCTCACCTGCCCAAACGAACCGCACCAAAAGGGAAAACGAACTCGTGCGATTCAATCGAACTAAATAAGGCAAGTGTAAAAGCACCCTAGGGCTGGTTCAAATTAATATATATGGGAGACAGGGGTAGGAGATTCACAGATGCACAACTATTGTGAATATATAATTACATGTATTATTTAACTTAATATCATCATGTCATCATTTTCTGCTCTGTAAGCAAAATGCTTGCAACATCTTTGGGTTTTCTACATAAATTACACATCAATGTACGCATTTGCAGAGAAGAAAACAGAGCTGTGTCACAAAGCTGGATGTCTGCAGAAGCCAGGAAAAGAGAATACCAATGGCTATGGCAAAGGGTGCAAAGAAACATTAGAAATGTGCACAGTAATGCAACTGTTCCTAGTACTAATCTAGACAGTGATGCACACATTTCTAGACACACTCTGCCACTCCATAACTCAGGCCTAAAAAAAATACAGGGACAGGAGATTTTGACAATATTGGCATTGATGCAGTCAATGGTGAGACACTGCTACATCATACAATGACTGTAGACACAGAAAACATGGATACAGAATATTCCAGTAGCGACAGATGTTTTTTTTTTTTTTTTTTTGATAGATGTGAGTATTCTGACAACATTGATATGCCCACTGACAACTTAGCTAAGGCGTTAAAGAAGTGGATTTGTGGCTCTAACATCAAGCACAACGCTGCAGACTCACTGCTTAAAGTTCTCAGGAATCAAGGCCATAAACACGTGCCATCCACTGCTAAAACATTGTTAAAAACTGAATATTGAAAGTCCAATGGTGTCTGGAGTGGAATCTGTTACATTTGGAGTGACTGAGCAATTAACAATGTGCTTGAATCAGTATCCTTACAATTATGAAAGAGTCATCCTTGAGATTGAGATTTAACTCAATGTAGATGGACTGCCACTCTTTAGGAGCACTGGTGAATCTTTTTGGTCTGTACTCTGCACAGTACATCTAAAATCAGCAAGCATATTTCCTTTTGGCCATTGCCCTTACTGAGGCCAAGCCCAAATCACTTGACTTAATCAAAGTCATATCAGATGAACGATGTGAATGTAACAAATGGCTTCTCATTGGGAGAAATAGCAGTTAATGTGAGACTGAGGTGTATTACATGTGATGCAAAAGCAATGCTGAAGTGCATCAAACGATTTTCAGGTTACTATGGCTCAGACAAGTGCCCCCAAAAAGGCTTTTGAAAGGGGCGCATGACGTACGAAGAAGTGCATGACCTTAGTTTAAGGTATGATTTCTCATTCAGAGAGCAATATCAGCCTTAACACCATCAAGAAAATACTGTTGTCCACTTTCAGCAATCTACAAATTGACATGGTCAGATCTTTTCCTGTTGACTACATACACCAGTGCTGCCTGGGTGGTAATACAAAACACGCTCCTCCTGTGGTCACGGGGCAATGACTATCACCAGCTCAGCTGAGGGAGGTCAGTCAGAGGCCAAGGAATTTGAGATGTGACATACCCCATGTTTGCCAGGAAGCCATGCAGTATGGGGGAATTAGAGAGATGGAAGGCCACTGAATTCTGACAGGTTAAGCTCTACATGGGCAAAGTTGATCTGCGGGAAGTCCTACCAGAAAGCACTGTACAGTCATTTCATTGCCTTTAGTGTTACTATGTGCAAACTAGTGTCTCCACACTTAACACAAACCTACAATACGTATGCTCATTAACTCCTCACATGTATGGTGAAAAATTTCTAGTGTGCTATGTGCACTCACTGTTTCACCTCACTGCTGATGCCACCACAGAAAAGTGTACGTCTATTTATTAGTGAACACTAGAAAATGTCTTTTGATGTATTTATAACCACCGGTATTAAATGATTGATCCATAAAACTTACAAAATTAAATAACTAACAAAATAACAAGAGCTTTATTTAGTAGATTAATTAGTTTAGCATGTCATGAAATCATAAGCAGACAATGTAGACCTGTCTGATTTCATATTAAGTCTCTAATTTTTAGGATGCCTGTCAGACATGTGGAGAAGAATTTTCTGCAGAAGTGATGCCTTACCTGCAAATACATGTGGAGAAAGGTAGAAATGTTAGGTGTGAACTGTAGTAAGAGATTCTTTTTTTCTGTCCACAACTAAGACAAAACAATGTACATAAAGCTCATGTTACATCTTATAAATATATTCTGCTGTTTTGTTTAAAAACTTTATTAAAAGCCTAGATAGATGTTTAAATGAATAAATTGATGTTTATGTATTTTACTGTAGCTCCCCTGCAACTTTTACCTCGATTA